AGGGCATCGTGAAGGCCGGCGAGTCCATCAACGAGAAGGAGGATACCTTTAAAGTCATAGAAAGGTTGGAAACAGATTGAAAGGGTTTTAAACGAATAGAAATTAATGTTACTCTTCTTTTGCAGATACCAATCCGGTTTCACGCCACCAAGAGACATTCCCTTCGAGGATCTGTCCAAACTGGATCCAGACGCCGTGCAGGACTCGCACTACAGCAACTCGACATCGAACCACCTGACCATGAGGGGCACGATGAGTGCCAACAAGCTGAAGAAGCGCGTGGGAATCTTCAACATATTCGGAAGCAACAAGGTGAGAGAGTCAGTGGCCAATTTGTGGGGGCCAAATCCGGTGGGATGCCCAGTGGGTGTTTAGACCCGGTTTCCACCACTGCCTGACTCTCTATCTCGATATTGTCCAGAGTTTTCAGTTCTCCTCACTTGTCCGTTCCATTCTGTGCACCAGCCTCTTGAGTTGAGACGCCTCTTGATTAGTTGTTAAGTTCGATGTTCTATTGATAAGTCGTAGGTCTTGGTTTTGGTTTCGGTTTGTGTCTCTCTTTATGGTTTACTCATCCAGTCTTCTCTCTTTTCCGTTCTATTTCTATATTAATTTGATCGAATCTCGATTACCATATCTTTATTTCACTTGGACATGGTTCTGTCTCTTGCCGTAAGTACCAAGTGTCCAAAGTCCTCGACTCGTCTCCTCCTCTCCATGCATAATCCTCAGCCAGATCGACATTTCCATATATACATACATCGCCTCACCCCGGATCGCTTATGAATTGCCATGTTTTGTGTCGCATTTACTAATACTTTGTGCCTTGAGTTTGCCCTCACCAACTGCAAAGTCATACCAAATCCAAAGCTTCTTCTATAACTCACCGATATTAATTGATTAACTCTTGATTTCTACTTTTGTACACATATTTGTTGCTGCCATTCGGTTTTGAAACGATTAAAATGCTTAAACACACACACACACACAACCGACAAACATGTGATACAATTTCAAAAATGCAATCCTACAAATAAATTACTAAATCAATTCGCTGCCAATAGCAACGGCAGATAATTGAAGCCTGTATCACCATGAAGGTATGATGAATCTTTCAGCTCTCTCCCAACTAAGTAACTAACTCTAACTAAGCCTAGCCTTAACTAGCCCCCTACGATTAATCTTAATAACACCACTATCTCGCTATCTACTAATCACAATCAGCTAAATATAAATCTAACCATCACTAGCATATATCGTTTCCATTAATGATAATTAATAGTCTGAGTAACTTTCACTTTAAACGCCTGAACGCAAACGATCGGCATATTCTGGGCTTGACCAAAAAGAGAGTCAAGTTCTAAAAATTAACACAACCAATTATCATCAAATGTTTAGACCTTAAATTAACCATTAAATTGTTAGCTAACAAGCTGAAAGCCACAGCAGCACACTCACACTTTGTTCTATTCAGTTGTAAACTTTACGATTGCTTTAGTTTGGTTTTTTTATTATTAGCTCTTTATTAGCTCTCGAAAATCTCTCTGCATGATTGAATGCCTTTATCGCCTTATTTTCCCTTTCGTTCCATTTCCATAACTTTTCTTTAATGACCTTACGAACGGGTTTGATTGATATCGAAAGCGGGTCATTGGTTTATCTAAATATTTGCATTTATTTATGGTTTGTTGATATTCGTTTTTGTTTTTGTGTTGTACTGATTCTAATCACTGCGTGCAACTCTTGTTGTGTCTTGTGGATGTCCTTCTAGCCCTGATTTTGTACTTTATTACTCATTGCATTTGCCTAAAAAGATATCGTTATTCGCTTTTGTTAAACGCCGAACTAATCAAACTGCCGTTGCCACAGAACTCCCTGACTGCGGATGGACAAAAGGAGGACTTCAGCGATCTGCCACCGAACCAGAGGAGAAAGAAGCTGCAGGCGAAGATCGCCGAGCTGCAGCAGAAGATCTCCCAGGAAACAAACGCACGGGACGGCCTGATGAAGATGAAGATCGTCTATGAGGCGAACTCTTCGCTGGGCAATCCCATGACCGTCGAGGGACAACTGAACGAGTCGGAACACAAGTTGGAGAAGCTGAAAGTGGACTTGAAGAAGTACCAGGGCTTCTTGGAGAAGGCCAGTCAAGTGCCGGTGGCAACTAGCAGTCCGCAGGCGAATCGAAATCAATTGCAAAACGGTCACCGAACCTCTAGGTGAGTTGGGATGCGTCTTGATCTAAGGACTATCCATATTCATTATTAAATGGATTTTACTCTTTTAGACATTCCAATGGCAGTGCCGATGACCATCATGAAGATGGCGACGACCAGCCCGATGACGCTGGCAGCTTAAGCAGGTCAGATTCTGAGGATAATGTGGCGCAAATACAAAATGGGCATAATAATAACAATAACGGGTACACTCATAAGTCTACGTTCAATGTTTATAAATATATATATATCTCACCACATGCATTATACTCGTACATACATTATCGTAGCATTATGATTTGGCATTGCATATCCTATTTGTATTTATTCGACCATTCTATCACTGCACTCTTCATGGTGTGTGGCATTTTCTTTGGTGTTGGTTCACAAATCACAAATCTATAAAGCAATAACAGCCCAGAAAGTCCACAGTAAGCCAAAGATACAAAATTTAAACACCAAATTGACTTAACTCCTAATTTGTAGCCTTATAGTTTGATTATTTACTGCTCTACACCATACATAATGACACTTAATAATGTGAAAATTGCAACTTCTTCAAATATTTCGTTTCATTTTGCCTTTTCCATGGTGAAATCCAGCAGTTCGGCAAGTCCTGAGAGCGGCCTGGGCACTTCGCACACATCCCTGCCGGGATCGGGCCAGGGCAGTGCCAACGAGAATGCAATTGGCGAGGACACCTACTATGAAACCGAAGTGGAGACCCTAAACCCACTGGGCACATGTCGAGCCCTGTATCCTTTCGAAGGTGGGTTACTCAAATACCAGTCAATTCTTTTTCAATTAATTAAGTATTCTATTCCTCACAGCCTCCAGCGAGGGAAGCATACCCATGAACGAGGGCGAGGAGCTGCAGGTGATCGAGATTGATCAAGGAGACGGATGGACGCGGGTGCGGCGGGCGAACAACTCCAATGGCTGGGACGAGGGATTCGTGCCCACGAGTTACATCGAGTGCACGCTCTATGCTTAGGATTAAGTTAATTTCGGGGCGGGCAATCCAGCCGGGCGGTTTTAAATGTTACCTACTCAGCAACTCTTGCGTATGATCGATTGATTTGTGTACTTTTGTCATAACTTTGCGTTCTATCGGACAGCCATACCACACAGAAAAAACCGCACACAAAACCACACTTAACCTTCCCACAACACTGTACATTTTGACCTAAGCTAAGTTTGATTCATTTACCCTTCGTATGCTTTGTATATTTACTTTGATTTTAAACGTCATCGATCTTATGGTAGTGCAAGCTATATCATACTATAAATACTATAGTCATATGCACCTACGAGCAGACCTCACCTAATTGTAAGCACCGCAACGTTTCCCTCTTCACCACAACAATCATGATAACACCTATTTATATACATATATGGAACCAGATTTATATGGCACTTGAATACGTGAGAGCATGAAAAGAAACTAAAAAACTGAAACTACAGCCGACGGACATTAAAAGTAGTCTTGTGAACACATTCTCGGATGCAATTCATTTGGCAATGTGTTGATAATAGTTACTTTTGCTCGATTCTCGGCTCGGAGCCTTGGGAGCGAAGCACCTGCCGCTTTTCCCGCTGACCAATTGGAAAAGCGGCAGAGTGCGTTCTTCCTCAAATTGAAGCACTAAAACTTTGGTAAATATGCAAAGATCTAGAGAGCGGTCATCGATCACCACACCCCATATGAATACACACCCGAAACTCAAGGATATGTGGGCAAAAGTTATGGCAATCCTGCATGACACGCGGCATATGCAATTGCGGAAGCAAAGAACGCGCTAGCTTGTTTTATATAAATAGCAACAATTGTACATTTTACTTTACTCTATGCATAATTCGTAATTTTAGTTTGATGATAATTTTTGTATTGCTCTTTGCCTTGTACATTTTCACACACACACTATGTTTAAAAGGACGCGAGAAGCGAAATCATGCGGATAGTGCGTGAATTAGTTATGTTTTAGGGACCCCTAGACGTTTAAGTTCACAACATTTTAAGGCTTAAGTCAAAGCAAAGCCGGGCGGCGCTGCATTTGTTATGTTCGACGCCACTTTGCAATACATTTATTTATACTTTAATGCGATATACCGCTGTATATTGGTAAACCACAATCAAAAACTTGAAACGAAAGTCTGCGGAGTAAGTCCAGGCGGAGCGAGATAGGTCTTTAGTTAGATTTTCAGCAGCCTTTTCCATCTGTATTTTGTACTTTCATTTCGCATATATATGCTACCATGCTTTAGCATTTAAGTGTGCAAAAAACAACTGATACTGATGAATTCTGTTTTTCTTATGTTTAGTAAGCGATGTGAACGAATGATGAACTAATCTTAGTGCGAACGCAGAAAATAAATAATTCCAAAATTCTTAAATTTATCTAATTTTAAATTCGAACCGAAAACAGGCACATACGTATTAACGCTAAAATGTTTACAGCATCAAATGGATTGAGAGTAATTGAATTTAAGTGACAGACTACGGCAAATGTATGAGAGAATGTCGGCATAATAAAAGTAACTAAAATTAAATAAAAACTTACTGCTTATTATTTTAATAGTGGTCGTTCTTAATTGTGCTTTCGGTTTAGGAATAAGGGGTCTGAAAGTGTTGTTAATTATTTCTAAATACATTTTCATATATCACCTTTAAAACCTGAACGGTTTTTAAATTTTGAAATATACATTTTTTTTTGAGTGACCATACCTGATTACTTTTTTAGTGCCAAATTTTGACTTTGTTGAAATGTTGAGGTATTATTTTAACGCACCATTTACGGTCTCTTTAGTTTCCAGCAACCGGTACAATTTTGTTTATTTTATGGAACCTTCTGCCAAAAAATCGAAAATGACAAAGAACTATAAGTTTAAGAACAACAAGAAGAAGTACTTCAAATCGAAGGCGCAGGTGCTTCAACCTGGACAACGTGGATTCTTCGCCACGTGCAACATAAACGAGAAGGCGTGTGTCCGCGAATGCTACAATCTGTTGAACCACTATGCGGATATTCTTTACGGTCCGGAAAAAGTGGAGAATGAGCCGGAAAAAGAGGAGGCACAGGAAGAAGCAGGTGGTGAGGCAAGTGGGGATGCTGGAAAAGCAACTGCAGGAGAAGCCACCAGCGATGACGACGATGATCTAGAAGCAGCTGCAGCCAAGTGTCGTGAGAAGAACTCCCAGCGAAAAGTGCGATTCCAGAGCTTAGATACCAGCACTACCAACTGCGTCTTCATACGCACCCAATTGGAAGATCCTGTGGCCCTAGGAAAATACATTATTAACGACATTGCCACCACAGGAAAGTCTATGTCCCGGTTCGTCCTTCGCTTGGTGCCCATTGAAGTGGTTTGCCGTGCCAACATGCCCGACATAATTTCTGCAGCCGGAATCCTCTTCGATAAGCACTTTCTCAAGGAACCCACAAGCTATGGCATCATATTCAACCATCGCTACAATCAGCAAATCAAGCGAGATCAAATCATCGCCAAGCTGGCCGAACTAGTCAACTCAAAGAATGTGGGCAACAAAGTGGACCTGAAGGAGGCCAAGAAATCCATCATTGTGGAGGTTTTGAGGGGCTGGTGCTTGCTAAGTGTCATCGAAAACTATCTGGACTGCAAAAAGTTCAATCTGGCGGAGTTGGCCAATCCCAGCGATAAGAAGTCTAATGGTGAAGGCGATTTAAAGTCTGAGAAGTCATCAGGAGAAAAGGAACCCAATGAGAAGGAGGAATCCGAGCCTAAGGAGAAGCCTTTAGGAGACTCAAAAATTGAAGAAACTGACATCTAAAAGGAGAAGCTACCCCAAACCAACTAAGCGTTCGCTTAATACAAACTAATCAAAAAATTTGTAAGACAGATGACTCCCAACCCAGAAGAGGGCATGGAGAGAAGACCAGATAAACATATAAATATGAATAATAAAAATATGTAAATAAAAAAGTGCATTATGTGTATATGATAGCAGCTCTTCAAAAAAAACAGTATCAGCTTATTTAAGATTTAAATAGTAATCCATGCAACGAAGGACAGTTCAGGAAATGGATATGCACTTACCGGCAACACGGAAGTCAGAGGAGAGAAGAAGAGCAAAAACCTGGAAATCCTGGAAAGTAGTAGATGATCAGATGATTTTGTGGGCGGGTTTTTAACCTGGAAATATCAGTGATTTTTGTTCTTCGATAGCACCCATTTATAAAACTTTAAACAAGATTATAAGAGATTTCAAAATAAGTGGAGATACGCTACCATAATTTTTTGGAAATAATATTTTTAGTTTATTAAACTTAAGGAATACATTGTTTAAATCTCCGAACATTCATTAGGAAAAAATCAAAGAATATTTTCGAAAACTATATTGAGATGCATACAAACAATTAGTTTATATATTAATTATAAAATAGCTGCCATATTCGATAAGTCATTTCATTCATTAACGACCTGCGGTTGTTATTTTGCTGGGCAGAGGTCCTGCCGAACGTTTTAAAATTATTTTAAAGTTCTCACTAACGGTGTAGTCCTCCTTAAACACGACAACCAGATTTAATTCAAACTCTGAAAATGAATAAAAATATACCATTCATGCAGACAAACAAATATTTACAATGTACAAATAAAGTTCTTACCGATTTTGAAATTCTTGGTGAGAAGCGTAGGACAGGTGAATAATCTGGGCAGGACCATATAGATGGGGAGCTCAAACTTTGGCAGCACATTACCGTCGGCTATTTGTATCGTCTGGATTTCCGTTGCGTCCTTGGAATATCCTTCGTCACAACCGCAGGTTTCAACGCGAACCAATTGCATTTCAATGGACTTAATGGCCGCCTCCGTGTGCTGAACCGTTATGCTACCGGTAATCGGAGTAGTTACACAGGACTCACTCCTATCCAGACGTCCTGTGATCAGGAATCTTGGCATGGACAATCTCTCCTTGGCGCTGGCATTCTTCTGCAGCGAGTCCGGACTCAAACTGAAGGGTGCCGCTTTTAGGGAATCTTCGCCCAAAGCCACTGGTTTATATTGCACGCAGAATTGTTGGATCCTGGTCATGGATTTACCCAGGAAATTTCTCTTAACAGTGCAATTTAACTGGTAATTAACGTTGATGAAAACACCGTGGTATGTTTCATAGAGAATTCGCGGTTCCTTTTTGCACACCAAAGGCAGCTCAAAATGGAATTCCGAACGACCGGCACTTAATTTTCCAGGAGCAGATAGCTCCAGACTATTCTGCAGTAGATTTATGGGCTTCACCGAGTTGTAAAAAGCATCAAATAACCCCACTGTTTTAGTACTTAGTTGCAGATTAACAATTCCTTCCAGATACAACATAATTCCTTCGTGTTTCGTCTCCTGCGAGCACTGAAACTGAACACAACCCAACAGCATGTCCTGGAAAAAACAAACATGCATTAAAGAACACTTTTAAGTTTTTGCAAAAACTTACATTTTCATAGTAAACCTTATTCTCTCTCTTTAATTTAATATCAAAGAGTAAAGAACCCATTTTTATAAAATAAACAAATGAAACAGCTGATTAATTTTGGGTCAATCTGGCAACCATGGGACCAGCTGACTAGCAAGTTGGCATTTCCTTAATGTCAAAAAACCAAAACAATTGGTAATTTATATAAGGCATTTGAACATATTTATTTAAACCGAAATGCCTCGTAATTTGAATGCGGAGAGGGACAATCCCTGCCTGAAGGTGCTTGATCATTAGAAAATAAATGTATGCTAATTACTTCCTTAAATACACAGGAACAAGAACTGTCGTTTAAATGTCTCAACAAAAACAACTTTGATCGCGACAAGTGCGAAGTTTATTTCGCGAATTACAACAACTGCAAGGAGTTTTGGGTGAGATTATTAATTAAAGTCGTCGAGTTATAAACTAAAACATAATTCTTTTGTAGAACAAAGTAAAAAGCGACAGGAGAGCCAAGGGAATCGCCCCATACTTGCCACCTTTGGACGAACGCGATGCAATCAAAGCAGAATATATGAAGGGGAAACCCAAACAAAGTTGATAGAATTCTACATAACTAATTTTTCGTATACAAGTTAATTGTACATAAATGCCGGGAAGATTTTTATAATGAAGGAACATATAGTTTTTTTGTATGAAAAGTTTTATGTTCTTAAAAAGCACACTGTATTGAGGTTGTAACAATTCAATTTTCATTTAATTTAAAAACGCCTATAAATCTTCTAATTGCACATAACCAATTTTGCCTTAGCCGTGTACAACATCGGCTCCCACAACTTTAAGGGCCGGCATAGACTCTTCCAGCATAGCCGTGGCCAATTCCCACTCCAGGGTTCCCTTGGGATCATCCAGGATAAGCAATTTAAGCTGCGGCAGACGATATAGGCAGGCTAGTCCATTGGTGGTAATTTGGGTGCCCGAAAGGTCGAGCACTTCCAGGTGCGGGAAGCCACCGCCCGAAATCCTGTCTAGACACCAATCATCAATAGTTTTGACGTTGTGAAAGGACAAGAACTTGAGCGAATCCAGGCAACGCAGATTTTCCAATCCCTCGTAGTAGAGAACCATATTATCGCACCTCAATGCTTCCACTTTGTAGGCAGGATCAAATTTATTGGGCAGGTTGAATTCCCCATCCTCCGTGGCTCTGTGCCAGCGGGAATCGGTAAGGAACTTGGCGGCACCACCGCGATACAGGATGAAATGTGCAGCAGCCAAGTCGGCACCCAGAATCTTGTGTCGCTCCGGGATAAACTGCTGCATGTGCCTTTCGATTCGCTCCTGCCGGTTGTCCCACCACTGGCGCATGTTCCTTGGACTCAAGTCGAGGGGCTGCTGCATCATCACAATGAAGTCGGATGTTTGCTCCGAGTTGGAGAAAAGTTTTAATTTGCTGTTCCAATCCTCCGGCCGATCGCCAATGGGAGTCCGCCACTTTAGCTTTTGCTTGTCAGCAGCCAATTCCGCGCGAATCCTCTTCACCGTTGCACTGACCTCTACCTCCTCGCCCGGTTGCTCCTGATTTGTGGGCAGGGTAGAGGCCAATTGTCTACCACACCGTCCCAAGGAAGGAGTTCCACGCCACAGGCGCTGCAACATGCTGTAAATGTAATTTAAGTAAATAAATTTTCTGAAGGAACTGAACTAGGGATGTGCACGTTACATGAATTCTGGCGTGAGTCACGACCTTACATTATGTTTTAGCGCGATTAATATTGTTTTGCTCAAAAAACAGTAATAAGTTAATCGTGGACAACACTGTCATTTGTCTGTTTTTTGTTAGGTTGCATTAATTATTTTATTATTTTTTAAAATAAATAAAATTTTTGCGTGACTTGTTACGACGAATGCTCGTTGTAAAATCGCAGCAGCTGACGCATCAGCTGCTAAGACTCACTTTCGTCCCAAGTTGGCATCACCAAGCCGATGCGACGCCATTTTGCTTTTGCGTGCTGTCAAACGCTGAATTTCACATTTCCACCAAAAAAAACGCAGACGTCTTTTACTGAAGTGCGTGAGATACCACCGAAAAACCGAAATAAATCACTTAAATGCTGATTAACCGCCAGCATAACGATTGAACCCAACGGCAGAGAGGCCAACGCCACAAAAACCTGCCGAAAATTACGTGAATCAGCGGAAGGACAACCCGTGAAATTGGCACTTTAATTGGCTGTACAACTGCGAATAACACGCTGTAAAATGGTCAATTCATCCGGCAGCGAGGATGGCCAGTTGCGGAGCCCCAACGATGGGCATTATCACAGGTGTGTATTATCCGGGGGTCCTGGGAAAATACGGAGATTCCATTCTCAATATGCTATTCATGGAAAATTGTTGCTGCATACACACAAAGAGGCGTACATATACACGAAAGGGCTGGCAACGCGACGGGAATTCCGCTAAAAATCAAGCTAGATATATAACTGCCACATCTCGCCCACACTTACAGCTGCGATAAACAATTTTTGTTTCTATTTTTTTTACTTAGTTCGAGGAAAAAATGTAAAGGATATTCCGTTTATTGTTTTCTTTTATTGACGTTTACTGAATAAACATTTTACCGTTTACCCTCTTTAATTGTCAATCTAATCAAAATTGCAACTATTATTTTGACCGCACTCTTAGCAATAACTGTTGCGTGTGTGTGTATGCAGTGGGTGGCCAATTTTCCCCCCACCATCTTTATCTGTTGACTATTATGAATTGTACATGCTAATTCTATAATCTTGAAACGAAATTTGCGTTTGTAAGATGAACATTCGCCCCAATATACATAAATCACCTCCAACATCCCTTTCGCGCTTGTTTGCTCTCCTTGATAATAATAACAAAAATACCAAAACCAAAAATAAACAACCAATTTATGACGATTAAAAAATTTATTGAATTTATTGAACCGTTTAATTGACTTGAATTTTTTCGTTGCAAATAGGCCAAAAAGTGTGTACTTGTCCCATGACCGAGGCGCGCGATGGCCAACAACAATACCTAATAATAATCATAACAAAAAAAAAAACCAACAAAGCTATAAAATAAAAACCAAAACCAAAATGAAAACGAAAACGAAAGAAAACAGTCAAGCAATGTGCAAAATTCGAGTTTTGAAGTGTGCTCCTGCAGTGTCAACGGCAGATGGGACCGAATCTTCTCAAGCCAACCACGCTAATCTCGCTTGAACCGCCGCTGGCTTATTATGTGTGTTCCCAGAACCGAACACCCGAGAATCGAGATCTGATAAGCTCCGACCCGATCGATCGATCCGATCTCTCTCATGTGCGATGGCGGTAAATTGTAATAACCTGTAACTCAATTGAATCAAACACACAAAATATTGTATACTATCTTTGCTAATGCCTCTTTCCAAGTCCTGTCTCAATGTCTTTCGTGTCTCTGTCTCTCAAAAGATAACTCCCATTCCCAAGCAGGTTGCGCAGTCAGTCGTGTAAGTGTTTGCATTTTACAGCCCTTGGAAGTCTCGGAGCTCCGAGCTCCATGGAATAGTCACGGGATCCGGGATCAGGTAAGTACTGCATTTGATTGCACTCAATGGTGGGCCGATTTTAATTTTTTTTTGCTTCATTAAAACATTAATTAAGCCAGTAAAAAAAATCGAACATAATAACTAAATTGTTTTTGTAAGTGTTTGATAAGCATATTACTATGTATAGGGTTTTTTTTAAGTTTGTTTAAAATCTCAAATAATTATATGTAGAATTTTAACGACATATTAAAGTCGTTGAACTCTTTGCTTTTATTACCACAAATCGACCCACCAATTTGCACTCGATGCTGCTCGGAAATGGGATAATGCCGCACCTTAACCGAGCAACTTCGAAACGATTGCCTCAAATAAACACTTAATAATCAGCTTATGTCTGCACCAAAGATTCTGTATCTAATCTCGAAGAATTCCAGAGCTAGCATGGACTCGAGTTTTTAAGGCCGCCAAGGGCAAGTGTAAAATGTAATCCACAACACCGACTGCAGCAACGTGCAACCTGCTAGCGGCAACATGCAACATGGTCATAGCAGCGCCTGGTCAACTGGGGCGAGGGTCAGCTGGGTCATCGTCAGGCAACGTTCCAGAATCATCAGCAGATGGGGACACCACATTAAGCATGACACCATAATTTTTGACTTTCTCTCTTACTTTTAGCCGTGGCGAAGATGAGGACCACGAGGCGGACAGCGATGCCCTGTACATACAACCGCCGCAGGCGAGCCGGGAATCTGGATCGGGTTCCAGGCGTGAAAAAAAGAAACATTCCCGCGAACGGCGGCGGCACAAGGAACGCGAAGATGTCGGCGGCGGCGGTGGACTCGCACTGGATCGGGAGCACCGCTACGAGTATCGAAATCGGGAGGAACACTACCACCATCACCAGCATCGCGAAAGGGCCGGCAATGTGGCAGTCGCGTATCCGAAGCACCACCTGGGCCATGCCTACCACTACCCGCAGCCGCCTCAACAGCAACAGCCCCTGCCGCCGGCTCCCAGCTATGCTGCCCACCATCATCATCACCACCAGCATTTAAGCGGAGCACGAACCGCGTCCCGTGGCGATTACCATTCCTATCCGTCGAACTATCACTCGAGCAGTAGGCACGCCGATTATCCAATGGAGGAGCCACCGCGCAGAGGCAGTAAGTACGCGGAGAGCAAGGATGCAGAGAGTCTGGAGCAGGATTTGCGTTCCAGGCTGCTTAAGAAGCGGCACAACTACGTTAAGGATTACGAGACGGAGGAGAATTACGAGCATCGCGGGGAGCGAAACGAACGGCGGGATGGCGGATCTCGCAAGGAGCGAGATCGCAGTGGCCGAACAACCCACAAGCAAAGCCGCCATGAGCGAGTCATTGAGCTACTGGACAGTCCCGAGCCGGAGCACCAACATCAGCACCAGCACAAGTCTCATCGCAGCAAGTGGCGCGAGGAGGTTGAGATCAGCAGGAGAAAGGAGGATTTGGAGTTGCTCGCTCGCCGAGAGAAACTGCTGGCCGCCGATCGTGATAGTCGCCAGCGCAAGCAGACGGCTCGTGAAGAGCTTGAGGCTCGGCGGGAGTTGCTTCGCGAGCGAAACGAGCACAGCGATGCACTGAGTCCAACGGCAGTGGCTGCGAGCGTGACAGCTGGCCTAAACATTCAAGTGAAAAGAAAATCCAAGTCGGATAGCTACGAGAAGGAAACCAAACACAAGAAGAGGCGAGAGGAGGAGGTGGAGGTCATCCAGGATGATGAAGACGATGAGGAGAGTGAAGAGAGCGACTCCAATAAGGAGGATGCCGAGGAGGACAGCGCAGAGAGTGCCTCGGAGTCGGGAAGCGATGAAAGCTATGCTAACAAAAAGAAAAGCAAGATTAAATCCAAACCCCAGATGGAGGACGACGACGAGGATCTGCCTCTGCCAGACAGTCCACTCAGCGTGGGCGAGCTCTACAAGTCACCCAAGCAGCGACAGCGCTCCCGCTCAGTCAGCTCCAAGAGCAGCTCCCAGTCCTCTCGCAGCAGTCGCTCCAGATCTCGTTCCCGGAGTCACAGCAGCCTGGATGATGAGGACGATCGCCGAGACGCGGAAGCCACTGCTTCTCCGAGCAGCAGCACGCGCAGCGAGGAACGCGGAATGACTCAGCAGCCTTTGGAAGAGAAGCCGGAGGAGAAACTCAAGGATAGACCACAGAAAGCCATAGAGGATCAGATACCCTGCGATGACAAAGGTCTTCCCCTGCCCAACTATTATCCCGGCGTGCAGGGCTGCCGTTCGGTGGAGGAGTTCCAGTGCCTCAACCGCATCGAAGAGGGAACCTATGGCGTGGTTTATCGGGCAAAGGACAAACGGACCAACGAGATTGTAGCCCTTAAGCGTCTCAAGATGGAGAAGGAAAAGGAGGGCTTTCCCATCACGTCGCTTAGGGAAATCAACACGCTTCTCAAGGGCCAACATCCCAATATCGTTACCGTTCGCGAAATCGTGGTCGGTTCCAATATGGACAAGATCTTTATTGTGATGGACTATGTCGAGCACGACCTTAAATCGCTGATGGAGACGATGAAGAACCGCAAGCAGAGCTTCTTCCCCGGCGAAGTCAAGTGCCTGACGCAGCAGCTCTTGCGGGCGGTGGCCCATCTGCACGACAATTGGATATTGCATCGCGACCTGAAGACCTCCAACCTGTTGCTCTCCCACAAGGGCATTCTCAAAGTGGGCGACTTTGGACTGGCTCGCGAGTATGGCTCGCCCATCAAGAAGTACACCTCGCTGGTGGTCACTTTATGGTACCGTGCCCCCGAGCTGCTCCTCTGTTCGCCCGTTTACTCTACGCCCATCGATGTCTGGTCGGTGGGCTGCATTTTCGCCGAATTCCTGCAGATGTTGCCGCTCTTTCCAGGCAAATCGGAAATCGATGAGCTTAACAGGATATTTAAGGTACGAACATTGCTTTATTTACCTTTTTATTGAATCGAATATTTACTTTAGCTTTCTTGTTTTTTCCAGGAATTGGGCACTCCCAACGAAAAGATCTGGCCCGGCTACACTGAGCTGCCCGCCGTTAAGAACATGTTGTCGCAGAACTCACAGTTCACCGAGTATCCCGTCTCGCAGCTGCGCAAGCACTTCCAGGAGAAGACCTCCGAAATGGGACTGTCGCTGCTGCAGGGCCTGCTTACGTTCGATCCGAAACAAAGACTGACCGCCGACGCGGCCCTGAAGCACGACTACTTCAAGGAACTGCCACTGCCCATCGATCCCTCCATGTTTCCCACTTGGCCGGCCAAGAGTGAATTGGGCGCCCGCAAGGCGCAGGCCTCGTCACCCAAACCGCCGTCCGGTGGCTCGCAGTTCAAGCAACTGGGCCGCGACGAACCGATCGCTGTTGGTCCGGGAAACAAGCTCTCATCGGGAATAATCACCGGGAACAAGAAGAGTCACGGAGCCGGCGGATCGTCGGCCAGCACGGGATTCGTTCTGAACGCCGGGCTAACGCAACGCCAGTTGGCCATGGGGCCGGGATTCAGTCTAAAGTTCTGATTCCATGTTGGATTCTGTGTGTTTTTAGCCAATTACAATTAAGATTAATTGTTATGTATAGTTAGCGATGTAAGTGAAAAATTTCGTTTAATTGTATGTGTAAAAATATTGTTCCATATATAATTTAAAAAGCCATACAAAAAACTGTGGTCAAACCGTATTTTTCATTTAAGTAGAGACAATTTGACACTTAGGGGCAGACCAATATCGAGGATTTGTGGACAACATTCGTAGGGGCAGAAAGTAATCTATAAAGCTAAAATTGCTTTTGTTCATACAGCAGTTAACGAAAAACTGAAGGGATTTAGAAAGAAATCTAGCTCTATACACCTAAGCGATTTATTATTTTATCTTGGCAGCTTTATCATGACTCTACTATTTAAACATTAAATATAATTTATATCAATATTTTTTGTGCAGAAAAAATAATTTCAATTTGTATCGCCTTTATTTTACATCGTTCAGGGATTTACTTTCCGCTCCTACAACTCGCAAAGACCGAAAATCAGCCCAAACCCTGTTCACACCCAATGCATCCACACCTGTAACTTTAAAACTTAGCCTATGGGAAATACTTTCGTACTTTCTCTGAATTGCCTAAGTGGACCAGAGGTAGAAGTAAGTGCTTTGCCACGTGGGAATGTAATCTTTTAGGGGTCCGGCCACCACCTTCGCAATAGGCACACTAGTCGCCACAAAGTCGAGGATTCGCTCCAGTCTGGTTTTGGTGAAACGGTCGTAAAACGGTGACCTAACGAGGAAGTACAGAATGTTGATGCATCGCCTACTCAGCTCCAGTTTTTGTTGCTTAGACATGAGATCGCGGTGCTGGCGGTACAGATGGATGCTGTAGAGATCTATGGATAGGGCCACCATGTACTGCTTCCAGCTTCTCCGACCAAACAAACCCATGGCTACCAAGTGGATAAGGGGCTTTGATATATACAGGTACTCGGCTTGAAGTAGTTTCCGTGGGATCTGCGTCTTGACCGCCTCATTGTTGTCTATGTGGAGCTTAAAATCTCGGTATTGCAGTGGCGGTGCCCCCCTCTACTTTGCGGATTACACGGCCAGATCGCTTTAATTGGAAGGTGATGGAGTGCTGGGACTGCAGCGTATCGCTGCTGGAAGGCACATCATCGCCTGAAGCTTTGCGCTGCTTACCCAAAGCCCTTCGATTTAGTGAGGCGATGGGCGGCGACGTGATTATATCCGATGTCGAGTGTTTCAAGATAAAGAAACGCCCCGCCGCCTTGAAGGCCTGTATTAGCGCTATCACCAGCCACTTGCCGGATTGACCGAATAGCCGGCGAGCCGATATCTCGATGAAAACCTCGCTATATTCGAGTGTCGTCAGCGTGACCTTTAGACGGTAGCAAAGTTTCGATTGCAGCTGGATCACCGAATTGTCCCGGGCACTGCGTGCTCGTTCGATGATCCGATCGTTATAGAACACCAGCATGTTGGACAGTGTGTAGACCAATTCGCTCAGCACATTCGAGGACGATATGCGACCTTAAATGCGTCCAAAAGAGTTAACTTTATAATACATTAACATTTGTAAACATAGAGAATATTTTACCTGCTATAAAGTAGGAAACCCACTTGGCGGTGGTCTCGAAATCGCCCACTACATCCGGGTTTTTGGCCACCCAAGCCTCGTACGCCTTTAATATGCCCTTTAGAGTGTCCATTATATCTGGAAAATATCGCCTGTCCCTTGGAAAACCAAATACAAATGTGGAAATACGGCTTGCAGGTAAATCAAATCGGTGCAGCTGTGGCGTTCTGGCTTTTCCGGAGACGCGTTAGTGCTTTTTGCTAGAAATAAGAAGGTGGCGCGATGTGTTCTTTATTAATTGAAGTACAGTAGTTATTTGCTAAGAAACCAATAATTTTAAATCACCTTCTTCTGATAAGAAATACTTTAAAACAAATTAATTTTAAGTTTATTTTAAATTTGTTTCTTTACATGTTTTTATAAGGAACTACATATTGCATATTTACATTAATGACAAGCAAACTAAAACCACCAACTAGTTGACGTCACAACATACACCATACAGTTAAACTCTATGAAGTTCCAAACGCGTTGAGATTTTAGTCGACTTAAAATGCTTGGCCACACTTTTGTTTGTGCCGAACTTTAAGATCGAATTGCGACTGGGAAATCGGGTCGTTCCGTTTTCGTGTGGATTAGCTTAGCAAGATTGAATTAAGGGTTGATATACAGATGACCAGTAATAATACGGACACCGGAGACACAACCATCATGGCTACGGCGAGCTCGACCTCCTTGCAACAGGATTTGGAGGCCAGAGCCGATGAACAACTGCCCCGAGAATCGCTGGTAATATGTAACCCCCTCGAGTTTGTCTAATCTATAATCCGACTATTCGCCGCAGATAACCACTGCAGTCAGCTTTCTACAAAACACGAAAGTGCGCCATACGACACTTATCCAGAAGCAGCAGTTCCTACGGTCCAAAGGTCTCACTGCCCCCGAAATCCAGTTGGCCTGCGAGCGTGCCGGCGTTTTCACCCAGGATCCGAATAATCCCAACCACAGTCCGAATACGGTGATCAGCATCGGATCCCAGCTGCAGGCCCTGCAGCCTCAGCCGACTGTATTTGGACGGATTCGAGAGATCATCCATTCGGCGGCCCTTTTCAGCGGGGTGGTCTATGCAGTCTATCTCTTCTGGAAGGTGAGTGATAGTTCTGTGTTTCTGAATATTTTTTTATTATTACCGCAATATTGTGTTAAAATTTGTTATTTAGGCTAAAATTTTTTAAGTAATCATCTAGACTTCTCAACTGGAATAATGTTTAAATTGTTAACCTCTTGTTTTGCATCAATACTACATGGAAGTAAATAACTGAAATTTTCCGAAACACGAAATAAGAGTCCAAAGGTCAAGGTCTCATCCCATTCTAACGTACTTAAGTTCATCTTGACGGCACTCACTTATCTTAGTACTTATTATTTAATTAGTGGAGTCGTCCACACACTCATTTTTATAGATTTTTGGGAAATTAATATTCGTTTCTTTTTATGGTTATACAAATCATTTTGGAAGCGATCAGCTCAGATTATAGGTTTTTTAAACATTTCAAATTGAATCCATTAACCCAAACTTTTAAGGCCATGTACATATATACTCTCGTAAAAGTAATACCTTTCTTTGTTAATGGACAGAAATACATTGCTCCCTACCTGTTTGGTAAGCCCAAAAGGAAGCCGGTGGACGAAGCTCTGGACGACATCGACAAGAAAGTAGATTCGCGTACCAACGACCTCAACAAGGAGATCTCAGCTGTTAGGGATCTGATCACCAGCCAACAAAGGGAACATTCCCAGCAGCTCAATCGCGAATTTAGCAACTTCCGCAGCGATCTGGACGCCATCAAGGGGCTGCTGTTGAACCGGAAGCAGTTTGCGGGCCCCGTAGCCCCCATAACAGTGCCATCCATTCCCGCCTGGCAGTTAGCCGGCTCTCCACATCATCATCATCGGCACAGCGGGTCGGACAATGACAATGAGAAGGGCGATGATGCAGGCTCCGGATCCGGATCATCGGAGACCGAAGTGGTCACCAAGAACAGTGACTCCAGCTTGGAGATCATGTAATCCAATCAGAATACGGGGCTGCACTATATAGATGTAGTATATAGTTAGACTGCAGGACGTTTGTGAATTGAGTTTTCCCTTAAATAGCTTAAAGACTCTGGTTTTTTGCTTTGCGTTTATAGCATTTAAATTTTCTTTATAGTCAACAGCTAATCCATATCCAAAAGTACATACACTCACACTCACATATACACACTTATGCGTTACGATGTCTATATAATGTAATAATAAAAAATGTTTACATAATAACAGGTTTGAATTTAAAGAAACTGTTTAATTAAGCGCAAAAATGCTTTTGTGTAGTTGTTTTTTTTTTATCGGTACATAGGGGGGTGGGGGTAGCATATCGGATTAGATAATAAATTTTAACTTATTCTTTAATTGGTTTCTTAAAATTTTGCCGAGTGCTACTTTCTATAAATTGGCTAAATTCCCTTTAGTTTGATTTAAGAATATGCTGAGCTGCGCTCCTCAAAGAGTTACATTCGAACTCTCGTTTGGGAACCCACTCAGATCCTATATGGTTTTTAATTTATTTATTATTGTGCGGTGCGTAGTTATGGTTTTGTTTTAATTACAAATTTGGTTCTCTGCGCTTTCCGTATTTAGCTTCGTCTTCACTTTATTTCCTTCACTACTTACGTTAATTTTTATCGATTTGTACATACGATAATTTAGTATTCAAATAATTGTTTGCCGTAATTTTCTTTTAAAGTAAATATATCCTAGTAAGTTAATAGTCTCACAGAAGATTGTTAAGGGCTTCAAAGTTCGTTTAAATGGGTTTTTATTGTATGCTTTGTTTTGTGAATGGAAAACCATTGCGGAATATACGAAAAAACAAGGCTAGGGAACCATTCTCTAACTTATCCTTAGTATGCAGCGCGCTAGAAACAACAAAATCAGATATATTTAAATCTATTACTCCAATTGCATAAACTGCATCTACTTAAAAGAGTTGATCAGCGCAACACTGGAAACAGAGTTAGTTTTATTTCGATCTGCAACTCATTTTGTAGTTTTTAGCAGACTGCATACTGAGAACGGGTAGCGATGTGGTTCTTGGGGAGCTAAGCCCTTGTTTGTTGGGTATACTCGATACATAAGATAAACAGCGGCCAGGCCGGGATTTATCAGCTATTACAAATTAAATATAACATATTTACAATTAATCATATCTTTCGATTGGGGCATTACCAGCTGCCAAAGACCGAACAGTGTGGAAATTTGATGACAAATTTTTGACAACAAATAGAAAATATTTTTAACAATATATTAAATTTTAAAGCCTTGTTTTAATTGGAATTAATAAAATTAAATCAATTTCGCTTGATTGATTAGAAATTATTTAAAATCGGCTTGGCACCGGTAACCGATGGCCAGTGGTGTGACATTAACCCCAATTGGTTTGCCTCCTGCTCAAAAATGTATCCCTAATTTATGCTAAAAGAAAGTGCACTGATAGCGTGGACAAAAGATAACCAAGTATGGATTGCGGGATCCCAGAAAGGATGCCCTCTAGACGGCTGAATTGATTACCGCTTGGGTGGAGGCGGAACTACTGATGCTATTGGCCTGGCCAAATGCAGATCCGGCTCCAGCCGTCGATGTACTCGCCGTGGCCGTAATGCTTACCGCGGCCGCTGTGGCGGATGTCCCTCCATCCGGATATCCTCCCGATGCCGGTGCCGGTGACAGGGACATAGTTGAAGAAGAAGGCGATGAGCAATCGCTTTGCACACTCATCGTGGGCGAAGCGGCCACCAGATTGCTACTGCTGCTAGTGTTACTGATCGTCATCGGGAACTGAGGCGGCGGATTCCCGGTGGGCGTGTGCGGCGACAATGGCGACATCGAGGATGAAGTGGCCGCCGGCGATGGACTGCTGCTGGCACTCGTTGTAACGGCTGTGGCGGATGTGTTGCTGTTGGATCCACTGTTCGCACTGGATATGGTTGTTGGTGCCGATGATGAGGCGGATGGCGGCGTCGCTGGCGATTGCTGACTGGTTGTCACTCCAGCTGCTGCCGCCGCCGCTGCCGCTCGCTCACGCTCTCGATCTCGTTGCGGCCTAAAGGCTTCGCGCAGGGCTTCTACGCGTATCTCGTTGGGTCCCCATCGAGCGTATCCGGCGCTATTTTGCAGCCACACCACCTGGGTGCCCTGCATGCACTTGATCAGCACATCGGACCTGCCAAGAATAAAGGTGGTGATAAAGCGGTCTTGAAAAGTTTTTTCTTAACTCACTTTTGCAGCATATGCTGATAGCCGTGCCTGTACTCGTGGGCCATGCCTAAAACCACCATAGAGCGACGCTTGTACATGCTATCGTCCAGCTTGGATATACTCTTCCACTCCGGCAGAAATACAATAAAGCTGCAGGGGGATTATACACGATAAAATTGTAGTTGAAATAATAAATAGGTGACTCACCTAAGTGGTTCCATGGTATCGGTGAGCAGTTTGTCGATGTGCAGCAATGAGGCTTCGATCAACTCCTCGCAATGAGGGGGATTCACTTGGAAGGATCCGGAAACGGGCTTGAAGTCCAGAAAGGGACTGTATTTGCAACATACAACAGTAAGTAAAGGCTGATAAACATTTTTTATGGGATACCTACCCCCTGGAACCAAAGTAAGCATCCGTATCGGCGAACGCAGAGCAGTACTGCCGGAAATAGGAATTGAATGGTGAGGCGAAGCACTCAAAGCTTACGCCGAAGTGCCGATGGAGACACTCGAACACTGGCACGGGCAACGCCGCCTGGGTAAGCTCGGCCTCTTGGGAGGAATTCAGAGCATTGCCCAGGAAGGTCTGGTACCGCTTGAGCAGACACCACACCCGCCCGATGAACAGATCGAACTTTTTGTCATCGAAACAATTGTGGCGGTACAGCTGCTCCAGTTTCTGTAGATAGGTGAGGTTGATATACTGCGCATCCGGCTGATTGATTGTGGCGGGCGTGTACTTTATGATCATGTGGTCGCGATCCTGCAAGTACTCAATCGTCGGCATCCGTGGCGATGGGACGGCAAACTGTATGGGATAGCACCACACTTTTTTTAAGTGCGGCGGTGGTGGAGGTGGCGTCGGTTCCGGTATTCCGTGCTCCTTGAGGAGCTGCAAGTGCCGCTCCCGTATCTTCCGAGCATGATCCGCCGACAAATGATAGATCTTGACACACAAGGTTTCCACCGAACTCTTGACAGTCTCCACCAAGTGCGGTTCACACTGGCGCTTTAAGTGGGCCAGACGATCCTGGAAATCCTCGTAGCTGGCGCCCACAGTGCGTCTTAGCCACTGGAACGTGTCCTCCACATTCCACTTGACAACCTTCTTGGATTCAGCCGGCGCCGATCGGGATTCAATGATCTGCTTCGCTGCCTCTGCGTAGCGGGAAAGCTGCTTTCTGGCATCGCCAGTAAACTTGGGCTTTACGATCTTTATGGGTATATCCGACATGATCTCGCGGTACATGGAGCTAGAGATTTCTGGCAGGCAACTGCTAGGCAACAGCGGATCGCAACCGGTGTCTATGACCTTGCGCTCCATCAGCCAGCGATTAAAGGAATCCCTGGGGGCCTTGATATTCTCCCTGCGCATGCACAGATCCTCGTAGGTTTTCAGCAGCTTCATTGTGAAGGCCGCACGTAGTGCCTCTACTTCTGGATGCGGTTGCGGCAGAAGGGTGGGCGGACGTTCCACAATCACTGCATTGGTGCACACCTCTAGATCCCAGGGACCGGCCAGCACAAACTTCTTCATTGGCGGGCCACCGCCTACATGGTGCTGCTGATTCGGGTGGATGTGCATATCATCCGACGGCCGACGCTTCAGGTGATGATGGTGGTGCTGATGCTGTGGCTGCTGGTGCAAATTGGGCGTCATGGGCGTGGGTCCGCCCGCATGGCATATGCCCAAGGGATCGGTTAGCGGATCAAATGGTCTAGTGCCGGGCATTTCCCACAGCGATTCTCCGGTGACCTTGTTCCAATAATACGGTCGGTTCTCCCTTTTCGACCAAAACTTGCGCCATCCTTGGTTGACCAGCTCGGCGGTGAGCTCCTCGCCGTATCCACCGGGTCCCAAAGTTGGTGGTCCCTGCGGCGTGTGCGCCATGCTCTCTAGCGGCGACGGTGCATGCGACTTCGTTGGCGTTGAGGGAGATGAGCAGCTGGCCACCGGTGAGCTGCCCGCTCCACTGCCCTGATTATCCGGTAATATAGGTCCCGTTACCGTGGGAGCTCCGGCAGTCGGTGATGGAGCCATGTTGTTGGAGGCACTCGCCGTTAGCTGATCCCAGGCACTCTGCGCGGCGGAGGAGGCGGACGAGGTGGAGGCAGAGGAACTAGAGGCCACAGGCGCTGGCGAGGATCCCATTCCTGGCGTTCCCGTCGACGCAATCACGGAGGACGTCATGCCTCCCGCACCTGTTCCACCGACCAGGTTGTGTATGTTGCTGCTGTTGTTAGCTGCCATGCTGCGGGAATATTTCTGCAAGAGAGAGGTAAACAAAAACAAGTGTTTACAATTGGAGAGGAGAGCGAGAGAACAGCGACCGATTGCTATTGACAGGGGGTGGGAAAGGTGGAGAAGAGCGCAAGGCAATCAGAAGAAACGATAATCAATGCTCAGTAATGACAGTTCAGATTTTAAAGGAAGCTTTATTTAGGTGTTCTTTAGATTTAATTATCAAAAATGAATGAAAAAATCATTTCGTAGTCATATTTTAATTCATAAGAAACTTAATTATTTTGTGGTATATGGAAGTTTTTAATTTGTACTCAACTCAATAACTTAATGTTAAATAAAATACACAAACTATTTTTACAATAATAAGAAAATGATTTCTTTATAATTAAAACTTGAATTACACCGTCAACTAAATACTATTTTAAAAAAAAAATCGTGTTCCCTGCTTTTTGAGTAGTTGAAAATCTAGTTCTAGCCGTAAACAAGCCAGGTAGACAGTGCCACACCAGCAGATAATGAAGTGAGCGCGCGTCGAAGTCGAAGAAACCACCACCGGAGAGCTATAACTGCCGTTAGTCGACCAGTCGACAACAGACTCTCAGCGGAGCGAGATCGGGGGCGCGCTAGATTCGTCCGAAGTAATGCGTGGGATCGTGGAGGTCTGGCAAAAATTAGCAATAAATTTAAGACTGAACATCCCAAAAATTAGAGGAAAGTTAAAAACTAGTAAAAACAGTAAATTCGCCGCCCACACAATTAAAAACCAGAAAGAGAGGGCGGCGCGCATGAGCGAGAGAGCCAAAGAGAGCAACTCAACCGCTCTCGCTCTCACGAATGAGAAATCAAAACAAATTGCAAAAGAATAGAGATTTTCTGCCTGGGTTATGTGTATATGTTTTGACGAGCGTGTACCAAGCGTATGCGCACCGCCACAAGCAGAATAAAAAAATATACAAAATTATTTGCTGCACTCGCACACACATACTGGCACACTATCCGTCACACACACCTGCACAAAGTGCAGGCATTATGCATAGGCCATATAAACAATTGCGAAAAAAAATTACACTTGGTTTCGTGGCCCCCGACGGCGGCTACGTCATAGCACTAAAATAATGGCGCGCTTTTTAATGCACCCACAATAACTCGCAAAGTCGCTAAAAATCTAAAGGAAAAAAACATAATCAATTGGAGGTTTTGCAAACGAGCACTATTTAATTCGGTGTTGGGAACAAAGAGGACTCGCTGGACTGCGGGGTAAATAAACAACATTCTGGGTGCAACGAAAATTTCTCTACACTTTCTTTTTTGCACCCACCGAGGCACCACAGGCACATCAATATTTTCCATTTTATATACGCTGCCTGCTGCCTGGCATCGTGTGGCCGTTCTGCTCAAAACGCCCTGAAACGCCACAAAACTCACCTAGTTTCAACTATCCTAGTCTGATAAGCACGCGCTTTGTGTTTGCAAACATTTGGGCGTGCTCTGGACGTAAATATTCCCGCGATTTTCTATCGAAATTTATAAATAAGTTCTTCTGAAATTCTTTTTCAGCGACGAAACTCAAGGCAGTCGGATAGAGATGGCATTGCATCGATAGGAGGCGTGATATCGATTGCCCGCTTCATTCCGCCCTATCGTTTGGCTTGGTGCTTTGTCTTTCCCGATAGTTATGCGGGTTTTATTTCGATTTTTAACCGAACCGGGGAGCATACGTCTCCGGAAATTGTTGACTTTCAAAATACATAAAATAATTTAGGCTTCCGTGCTTTTACACTAAGTTTGTATCATACCATAAAAAAGTCTAAATATTAACTACGAAAAAAACCCACATATTGTGGTAAAAATATTTTTTTAAGATAATTTACCTAACCTTAATTTATGTTTCGTTTCTTTTTTAATTGGAATGTTTAACATCTTTTATTTTTAATTTATCGTCTGCAGTTTAAGACAAATTTCTATGCTTATGTTGAGATCTGGTTTGTATCGGTTAATAAGCCGCAAAAGGTTAAACTTTTTCGCTTTGGAGTTGTTTGATTCCAATTCGTATAAAGTAGAGAGGTTGACCAGCAAACTCTCGTTCAGAGATTTCTGCGGGTTCAGATTGATAGCTCGTTCGTAAAGATTTATAGCGTCCTTTAGCTTTCCGGCATATAAAAGGCACACTCCCATGTTGTTTAGAATCATTGTATTGCCGGAATCCAAGTGCAGAGCCTTTTGAAATATCACATAAGCTTCGGGGAAGTCGTTTTTGGCCACAGCTATTAGTCCTTTGTCAACTAGGTCCCTCAAATCAGGCGAACAGTTTCTAAGGACGAATAAGTTTACGATAAAAAGGTTTCTTGTATTAATTGGTGGCAACATACATTTCCCTCAATCTTCTTGAGACGGCAAACTTCTGCTCTGCTCCAAATATATCACCAATTTGTAGGTAAATGCGTCCCCAAGCGGAGTACAAAGACCGTTGATCTTCCTTGCTGAGGTTAGAACGCTTTAAAAGAGTTCCCTCCATTATATCGTCGATCATACTAAACTTCTTCATCTGCAAGAAAAAGTAAACATTTACAATTTAATAATTTTGACTGCAATCCCATCTTGAACTTACCATCAATCCACAGTTGATAATTGAGTGCAGGACTCTTTCGCAGCGCCTTTGCCAAAACTCCTCGGCTGGCTTGTTCCGCAGATTAATATAGTGCTCTTTGATTTCCCGACTGGTTACATGAAGCTCTGAAAGTCTGTCCAAGGCAATGTGCGGTTTTCCCGAATAAATGGGAAGTTCTGCCAGCAAAAGGCGGAAGGAAAAGCAGGCTATGGATCCACTCTTGCCATTGTACATTTCTGGATAGAAGTCGTAGAAGACGTCTGGACTGGTGAGCTGTCCAAAAGGATCCGCCTCGGCATTCAAGAGCTCGAACTCGCCCAGCTTTGCAAGAAGCGCAAGGCGAGTGAACCACAGTTGCAGGGAGTGCGGCGAATGCTTGGCCGGCTGACCGGATCTTCCGTATCCCTGGCCATAAATGGTAAGAAGGCGGCCAGTTAGGTTCACAGCGGATCGGTAGCAACCGGCGTGGATAAGAGTCCTTAAGCCCCGTTCATCCTGTGTGACATCATCGACTCGGAGGATTTTGCGATTGGCCAACTCCGCTTCTCCCAGGTGATTGGTCACAGCCACGCTGATAGGATCTGTCTAAAAGATTAACCAGCTGAATCAGTACCTCATACTATCAGAATGTCTCCTATCATATACAATAATAACTCATATGAATTTTTATGTATGTATATGAACATAATCGAACCCTATCCTGTTTAAAACATTACTTACCAAATCATTTTGTAGGTGAATGCCGGGCATTATGAGTTTTCCCGTATCATTTTCCCGGGGCAACTCCCACAGATTTCGCACCTCGTCGCTGACCTTTATGGAATCATCGCCTGCCTCAGGTGTCTCAACATATTCAGGTGGCTGGAAAAATCCGGCGAAGGTGTTGGACATCATGTTGTTAGCGGAATTAGTGGTGCTGCTGGTCGAGCTGCCCTCTGCTGGCAAGTCCTTAGACTTGGATTTATTTGCCAGTTCATCGAAAAAACTGGGCGGATCGTTTGCAAAATATTCGCTTATTTTATTTGACATGTCTTTTGCCGATTGTTTTTCGATAATTTATTCGAGATGGCATTATCGTTGCTGCCAGAGCAAACACTATCGGCTATGAATGGCGCCAATAGTTGACATGTTTGAAAAGCGCATAAAAATGTATATATTATGAGCTATTCTTTTTTTAAGCATAAGTTTTAAATGAAAGTTGGCGGGATAGATTATCTAATCCTTTGCTACAGAAGTAATAACTGGTTGAAATGTTTCGAAGATATACTTTTTAATTTCGACCCGCCTCGACCTTTGACAGTTTTGAATTTTTAAGGTAAACTAAAAAATCCGTTAGAAACCGTTATTTCAGCAAAAGTCACATGCATGAACGCATGATTCAAATTTATTTGTCTACTATTTTTTATTAATATTATTGTACAATACATAAAGCAAAATTAGTTTATTCTAAAGCTAACGAAGATGTGCCATTTGATGACCAATTTTCCATTTGCTTTTGTCCTAACATAGAAACGCATTACGCTTTATTTACACGAAAAAACAGCCTCGCATGGGTCGCAGTTTATTGCCCATTGAAAATAGTTTCGGGATAATAGCTTGGAGCATTGAACATGCGCGGGAATCCATTGCCGTCCAATTGGCCCACAGGCAGCACCGACATAATATCTCTAAAAAGAAAACAATAAAAAAATTTGTATTATTATCAGTGTCGTAAACTTAAAAACCTTAAGATCTATAAATAATAATAATTGTTAAATTCAGCGCAATAGAAAATCTAAAATAAAACTTGGGTAATACAGTACAGTAAAAATTAAAATGTATAAACATGAAATAAATGAAGTACTAGCGTTTGCATTATTATATTAAAAAACATTTTTTTTTTCAACTAGGATCTGTTTATTTTAATTCGAAAAGCTGGGCTAATTTTACGAGAATCAGTTTAAAAGTTCTATAAAAAAATCCATAATTCCCCCAAGTAAATTTAATAAAATTTTTGTAACTCGAAGACTGCGTTACTTGAAATTGTGATGGTACTCGTTAAGGAAGTGAGACTGTGTATTTTTTACCAGCTAAAAAGAACACATTTAGTCCACTTGTGTGTGCTGCAACTTGACGCCCGTGGAGAGGCCAGGCGATCGAACAGCGGGACTCCGCATTCGGGGTGCGATGTGGGGCACATGCTACACGCATGCGCTGCGTTAGGAGCCGGCACGTCCCGAGTCCCTTGGCTCTATAAATATGCAGAGGACCGTGCAAGGAGCCGCCCGAAATTGGACATAAAACACGCTCAAGTGGGCGGACTGGACGCACAAGTGCTTTACGGTCACTTACAAACGATTTTTAATGCCAATTCCAAAACAATTGATTATATTCGTTCGGATTTCGAAGTTCGTTTCTAGGGGCGCAACACGCTCAAGTGTTGAATGAATTGTTTTACGAGTTATGAGGAAATGGAAACGCAAATGCCGGGTCTACGTTCGCTTCTTACCAAACGACATTTGCTGGAGTTCAGGGAAATGTTAAGTAAATCTATCTTCACTTCAAACGGAAATAACAGGGGGTTTAAAATTGGACGAAATGGTTCTGGTAGAGTTCAAAACTTATTTTCTATATGAAATGCCTTCATTTTATAAATATGTTGGAATTTGATCTGAAGGTATGTCATTTGGATATGAATTTAAAAGGGGAAAGCTAAAATTAAGTTTCCTGTTGCCAGGATCAACTTAAAAAATTAATCGTAAAAGAAATGGAACAATACAGGAACTTTGAAGATAAAGAGGAGGTCTAAACATTTTCTTAGAGCACTCTTAAAGTAAATTGAATCTATAATATGATGTAAATATTGATTTGGTTTCAATAATTATTGCACAATAATACTTTTATTTAAAATAGTGGCATAGATTTCTTTCAGTGAGTGTGAAAGTGAAGGTGTAACTTCTATTCCCGTTTTGGTAATGGGTCAACTTACGGTCTCTGCTGGGGCGTGCGGTCCCTTTGCCGGCGGTTCTTGAACCAGTTGGAGACCTGGGTGAGCGTGAGTCCCGTCTTCTTGGCCAGCGTCTTCTTCTCGTCGGGCGTGGGATAGCGATTGGTCAGGTAGCAGTCCTTCAAGGCGTTCCGCGACTTCTCCTTGAAGCAGTAGACCGTCTCTTCGCCATCCCAAATCGTCTTGGGCAGGGGATACTTTTTCCGCAGGCGATATTTGTCCACAGCACCAAGTGGACGACCACGAACCTTTTCCGCCTCCTTGTAGTGCGCCTTGAACCAGAGATTCTGCAGATCAACGTGGTACTTGATGGAGAAGCAGTGCGTTTCCAGCAGGTTGTAGAGCTCGTGGAACTGGCCAAGATTGTAGGCCACCATGGCACGGGCTCGCAGGACACTCTCGTTGGTCTTGAAAAATTCGCTGGGCGGCAGGCTGCAGAGGAAGGTGGTCAGCTTCTCGATGTCGCCCTTCTGCTGGAGAGCCTCGCACATGCACTGGATCTGGAAAATAATAAAAATTTTTGTATAATTTTTTATTGATATTTATATTTAATTAAACTTTCTTTTAAAACATATATTCGCAGATTGATTGATCTCACCCAAAGTGTTACAAAAACTTGTTACTAATGTTGTGTAAAATGTAAGTCCAATAATCCCTTACCTGATCCGTGGAAAACTGCAGCATTTTGGCATCGATGGGAAAGCTGCTTACTGCGGACATGTTGTGGGCGGCGGTGAGATTCGAGATGAGGTGGCCTCCACTTCCGGGATTACCACCCAAGCCTCCTCCACTCCTTTGCAAATTGCCGCATAAGGAATCGGTCTTTGTATTGCCATTGAGATCTCCTAAAGCGCCGCCACTACCGTTCTCAAATATTATGCTATTTAGGCTGGGATAGTGGGTGGGCGTGGTTGAGGCGGTGGGCGGAGGTGACTTATCATAATCGTTGGTTATATCCTGGAACCGTCGCTCCAGCAGATGATCCTTTTCCGCCCCTTCATAAGGTGCAAATTTATCCAATTGCAAAACTGTTTTGCAAGAGAGGTTTCCACGATAACCTGCAGATGGAAAATGATTACGTTAACTAAAAAAAATATTGTTTATTTTATATGCATTTACATATATTTAAGACAATGCTTTTAACAATTTTGTTTCCACATCTGACCAGAATGGCTTATCAAATACAATACAAATTCTAGAAACTCTAAAAGATTTACGGTAGCTTTTCTAAGCAACTGCCTTTCCAATCTGATTACAACTATCTGACACCTCAGGTTTGTTCTTTTTGGTTCTTTCTCACGTGCCATTTATGTGGTCAATGAAAGAACCCGCCTTCCCCAGGGGAGCCCCAAATCAGAATGTGACTAATCGAATACCCGACATGACCAAAACGATCGTTGTCTTTCGACACCTCAGACGGGGACTGTGGATCATATTGGGCAGCGAAAGAGACATCGAGCAAATAAATAAATAAATGCGATATGCTCACATACTAGTTTGCATAAGTAATTGTGTGTGGATATTGCAGTTGTGAATATGTAAATGTTATAAAACATAATTCATTTGATGGTGCATTGCTTGGGGATTACTTACAAAATAAACGAATTCTGAGTGCTCTTTAAACAGTTAAACAAAATTGAATCAATACAAAATTAACAGATAACTTGATATATTGATTATATAAAATACAGTTATGCAATTAATTGTGTATTACCTTTTTAAAATGTTTTTAAACTATTTCTGTAATATTTTATTCATATACATAAATATAAAGTATTGTAATATTTAAGGTCGAGATTATAGCTTACACAATGGTGAAAAATGATAGAACTAAAAATAAGTATTTAATCATTTTATCTTTTAAAATTAAATGGAATATCAGCGTCCCAAAAGATAAACAAAAACGACGCATACTTGATGTTAAAATGTAAAAAATATATAACTTTTTTAACCGAAATTTATAAACTGTGAGAGAATTTCGCAACCTCATCATGCACCCTGAACATGCAGTCCTCAAAAATGTGTGCTCCTCAGCAGAATAAAAGTCCCAGGCTTTAATTGTTTATGCAGCGCCTCATTGACGCCTCTGTCCAGAAACGCGATACTCCCGGTTTCGTCTCTAGACAATTTGCACCGATAAGACTAGACCTAGTTGGATCCAATTTGGATACACGAATCTATGGGTCTGGTGGCACTCACCAGCATTTGGAAGAAAGAGTGATCCGTAGGCCATTGGCGAACTTAGGTTATCCTGTTGGACAGCCGAGTGATCCGAGGAAGTGCCGCCGGAACTCGTAGAATCCAAATCTCCGCCAATCGAAACCGACAAATTGTTGCCATCCATATTCTTCTCAAACATATCTTGCGATTTTACTGAACAAAGTTCAGTTGGTATTTGATTTGTTTTTATTTTAAACTTTTAATCCTATTTAGTTGAGGTTTATTTTTCGTTGTTTGGAATTTCAAACCCTCATAATAAGTTGTACTTCAAAATATATTTAGTGTTTAACTTTTAAATACTGCTGTTTTTTCATACTTTTACACTTTTAAAAACTTTGTGTTTCTTAAAATTTATTTAGATTTATTTTAAAAACACTGTTAATCTCAAGTTGTAAATTTGACTTGGGTTTTAGTAATTATTATTCGAATATGTGCAACATAATAATTAATTTGTATTATTTGTTAACTTTTTATTCTACTTGTTTTATCATTTCTTTGCACAGTTATTTATTTTTTTTGGAACAGAAACTTTGTTTAAATTAAAATGTATTTTTTTAATAATATTTGTGGACCGTTTTTTCCTTGCGACTTGACGCGACCGCTCTTCAAACTCGACTGCAAGCCAAAGAAAACTGCATTCCGAGGGTGTGTTTCGTTCCATTCCGTTCCGCTTAGCCTGCGGAACGAGTGGGTGAGTGGGAAGGCCACCGTTAACTGGTTGCAATCTGGCCAATTTAGGGGTGGTTCCGTTTCCGTTTTTCGCCCTCTGGCGGTGGGCGTGGTCCTTGGCAGCCATTTTGTCTTATTATCTCCCAGTTGTGCTAACTTTTTGTATTGTTCTTTCTTTTTTTGTTTCTATCTAGGTGCAGAATAGGGGTCTTGGATTTGGAAACATCATGACCTCATTAGCGTTTTTGAGGGTGTCTAATGAATGCCCGTGTGCTGCTTCTTGGAATTTACATCGGATTTCTTTGACATTGCTTAATTTGGCGAGCTGGTAAGAGCTTTCTTTACACAGCCGAGCTTCTTTGTCACATAGAGTATGTTTTAGTTGCTGAAAATTCACAGACAAAAAACATATAAAATACTTTTTAATTAACATTATAGATTTCTTCATATTGCGGATTAATAATATGATAAATTGAATTTAAATAAATATTTATTTAATATTTTTGCAAACCTAATTTTGGAAGAGTACAATAATTTTTTATATAAACTTCAAAACACACGGCCATAGTTATTTTTTTCAACCAAGTTTTATATGATACATACTTAATATTATTTTATTACATATTTAAAATATTATTAAATTTTTGTTTTTAATTCAAGTCACTTTATAAATAAATATAGATACGTAAATTCTGTTTAAATTAACAGAAATTTCAAGTTTTTAAATTTCGTCAATGTATGCAATACGTATAAAGTCAGACTCGATGCAATTTGATGCTCGACTGGGGCTGGGATTGGGAAAATTCCTTCTGCTGCTCATCTAATAGGATCAAATTTCAATTACAAAACGGTCCTCTCGGCTGCATTCAACGCGAAATGGTGTGATAGAATAAAATGAAATAAAAGTGACATGACAAAGGTGACAATCCACAAAAAGGCCAAACAATTGCGTTGCCCCAGGAACAGGAGCAGAAACAGGAGCACTTCACGGATTCTGTTTGTTGTCGATGGGAATTCATTAAGCATCAAATTGGGAGGGTTGACGATTTCGTCACACTCGTAAATCCCCTCGACAGCGTCCCATAAACCCAGATTTGTCACAGCCAACATCATCAGCACCCCGAACAATATTACAACTTCATAGCCCTTTTGTTGTCACCAAATGATGATCGTACAGGTGTCGAAAGTGATTGCAGATTAGTGTTGGGGGTTTATTTTGTTTACTGCACTTACCAGATTATTAAAATCTCTATTAAAATTTTATAAACTTCTGCACGGTGTGCCATGCTAATAAGTTTTTGAAATAGCTTAAACACATATTTGGTATAAATCAATAAACTGGCTTAGTTATTATCTACAAAATTGTTAGATCTATAAATTGAATAATTCAAATATTTTTTTTAAATTTAAAAATCGTCTTTAGTGTTATTTTTAAGGTAGCTTATTGTTTTCCGTTGCTTGGCAACACCCTTTTGCAGAGGTGTGTCCTCTAATTGACCGCAGTGAAAGGATTGTAATATCAGCGGAACTAATTCCATTATTAAAATCACGTGGCAGGACTTAGGGATCGCATGCAAGCTGTCAGGCTAAATCAAACGAAGCTTTAGCTTTTTGCGAGTTTTTTCGAGCTTCGTGCAAACGCGTCTTTTGGTTCCCACACTATCATGTTTAGCTGACTCAAGCTGAATTTTTTCCTCGGGCGTTTGGTGTCTGTTTCTAAAATAATGCAAGCACATGAATGCAATCCGCATCTGACCACTAAAAAAAGTCCAACTGAGATAGAAAAGTTGTAGAAAAGATGACAGGAGATTCAATACTTTAAATGTAAATAAAATTAAATTGTAATCTTGAATGAATTTTTAGATACATATATGTATTTGAATTTCAACCTACAGTATCTAGGTATATAAAGTATTTACTTTTTCGTTAAACTTATTCTTGAGGATATCGCTTAATTTCCTGTTGTCTAAAATAGTCCTAATCGTGAAATCCCACAGCCGCAAGTACTTCCTGGCTAATACTTTTTAAGTAGCTCCTCTCACATTTCATCTCAGTTCCATCTTTTTTGCATCATCCAGCATTATAATATCGTCTCAAATACCCAGAATTTCCGAGCACTTTGCAATAATCTTCAACTCTTACTCAATTTTCCAAGCGAAGATCTTCAAATTCTTTTCACATTTTTGTGTTTACTCGTAACTTCTTGCATAACCATTTGTGGCTGGCCAGCCCATCGTTTCTCAATAGTTTTCCATTGTAGCCCATTGTTATCCTGACGACGTTCAACAAATTGCTTAACTTCTCGCAAAAAGAGACAGGACACTCTGGGATATTTAGCAAACGTCATCCTCCCAGTAAGAGAAGAACCTGCCCGGTTAATCCCGAAATTCCAGTTTCCGAACAGAAAATAGAGCAGCCCAGAAAACAGCTTACCATCTGTAATCCTGAAATTTCCAACAAAGCGTTCTGCAAGGTGTCACCTTGTCGCTATTCCGTCTGCTCCCATTCATGAGGAGGATTCCCTTATCCGCCTGTCGATCACTCAATAATGGGCCAACCGAGGGATTATGTGTGGCAGAGTTTTCTTGTCTGGCGATGCCAAATGATTTTCGCACCTTTAGCCGAAAATGTTGTGGGCATTACGCGGCGCAAACAATGGTGTTTATAGAGACATCACATCACAATCCAATTAATGAAAACATAACACACACATTTGTCGAAAATATAACACATTATTTATTTTATAATGAAAGCAATACCTTAGAGAGTTGTCATTAATTAAAACGCTTAATACCTAATACACAATTAATTGATAAAATTGGTTGTGGCCTGAAATGATTATAATACTTGTTGTAAACAGTACCAAACTATTTAAAATACACATTTTAATATAACATAATTTCATATTCAACTTCTTAGGAAGTTAAAAATTTTGTATTAAGTTAAGGAAAAAAATAAATCACGAGACAAATCATCAATCCCCTTTACAGACAGAAAAACCAGGAAAACAGATTTTATTTTCCTGCCACTTAGTAACGCAAATCAATCAATGCTTCGCGAGTTTCCATCGGTAATTTCAAACATATGCCGGGATACTCGAACACCCAAACAATTTCCCCAGCTAATTGGGCGGGTTGACTGGTTGACTGAGTGGCTACGAGTCCAGTTCCCCCATTCAGAAATCGGAAAGGGTGCAATGTAAGGCGATCCTTAGTTGGCAACCAGCTCATTATTCTCATTAATGAAAGCTCCGCTGGTGTTTCCTTTCTCCACTCAAGCGATAAATAACAAAACTACAACTTTTCCACTTAATTCTCTTCAACTATTTGTATACACACAGTACCTGCGAAGATTTGAATATGATAATTGATTGCAGTGAATAGGGAATTCCATTGAAAATTAAAACTTAGCCGGAATGGCAACAAAATCCTTTGATAGTCATCTTTCTTGTAGATCAGATAGTGTGATTTCTTTTTGCCAAAAAAAAATGAGTTGAGTTCATTGAAATTCTTTTGGTCAGGAAAAAAATATGGCGAAAGGATGTTGATGAGATAAAATCAGGACACCACTAACCGAAACTCCGTTTTACAAATGCTTCTTGATTTCGAAGCGAATGTCTGATTAAATAAAATGTTAAAAGAAAAATTTGCATTTTTACCAAAAAAGAGTAAATATAACTTTATTCTTTATAACTTTCCTCTTTAAAAATTTAAACAGCTTATGCGTCACAAAAAAACCCTTCATTACTTAACTTAAAATATTTGAATTTTATTCTAAAATAAATTGTTGGTGTACAAATCTAAAATTCCGGTTTTTCTAAAGCTTTTATCAATCTTAAATTCAAAAATAATTAACCACAGCCAAATTTAAGTCCCGGGGGACACAATTAGTGTACTTTTTATACTTTTTATTTCGGACATATGCTTTCCCTTGCCGCAAAATGAGCAAATAAATCATAAATGTTGCATTCAACGTAATTGAGCCCCGCACTCACCCTTAAAATTGTTAAGGGGAAGGGTGTGTGTGTCACCATGGCTACACTTCTATGAAACAAGAAAAACAATGTAATCCGATCTGGTTTTTAAAATGTGCGTAATATTGTGCGTGGAGTGCGGAAGAGATGGGGAAGTTGATGGAGAACTTGTTGAAATATTAGGGGTTGTAATAGCTCCGCCCTTTAGGGAAACGAGTGGAACGGAACTACCAATGACAAAATTAAACGGGATTGAAACAAATTGGTGTAGGAAATTCGACAAGGGGATTCCCCAAGTTAAAAGCTAATTTGGAACTTAATAAAGAAAATTATAACTAAGGGTAAACAAGTGAGAACAATTTAATATTTAATTAAACTAAGAAACAGAACGATAACAATAAACAACAATTTAACAGATAAGAAAAAAGTATTCCTAAACGTCTTTGGCCAGTTTATGAATCTGCTTGTAGTTGACATCCACCAACCGTATACTACTTCCCACAGTGGCCAGTGGTTTCATGAAGTTGTTTAGGGTATTTGCCACTGGCTCCATTATGTCCCTTATAGAACACAAAATATTATAAAGGAAAATCAAAGGTGGCTGCAGGAAACCGTTAAAAGTCATGGTCAAGAAGGGCTTTAGAAAGTAATCCGACGTCATGTGGAGAAGTCCGACGATCAAAGTGTTCACCAGGGAGTACAGAACAAATCGGTAGCTCTGCAGAATGAAGGCAACCACGAAGGCCACTCCGATGTGGAGGAGTCCAAAGAGTTCCGCCCAGAAGTGGGTGGCATACGTGGTTGCCCGATCCGCCAAAACAATTGAATTGATCTTGGGATGGGTGTCAGTGGTGCTCAGATAGTCCGCACATCCATGTTCGAATGGGTAAATACCTATGCAGGTATGCCTGCTGGCTTCTTTTTGATTCCACTGCGGTTCCGGCAGATCATCGATAATAGACTTCTGAGTCTGCACTTGGCACTTGCACATCTTGTCCAGCGATTCAAACAAACGGGTCAGGAAACCAGCCTTGCGTTTCTTCACCTCAGATTCTCTATGGGATTTCGAACGAGTTTTTACCTTGGGAGCAGATCTCGTTGGAATAATAACATGGGGACGCTTTTTTGAGTATCGCTGGAACTCGATCCTGTGCGGCTTATTTTTTGAAAGGTTTAGCAGACTCTTCTCCGGCTCGGCGTGCATTTGATAGAGAGTATGTGGGGAGCTACCGGAAATTGTGGATTCGGTCATCTCACCTCGCTGATCGTCCTTAAACATGTTATATTGAGCTTGGCTGTGCTGGCAAGCATCCGAATCGCTGGAGGAACTCATTCGAGGGAGCAGCTTCTTCAACGGCGATTGCATCTTGGCCGTTACACCCACATGATGGACTTTGATCAGGTTGGATTTGGAGGTGGCGCACTGAGGATCTGTTGACTCGGACATCGGGTTGAATTTTTATATTTTACACTTTATTTTAAATTGGTTTGTTGAAAAGATAAATAGGTCAGTGCTTTGTTGATTATATAGTAATAGTACACCAAGTTATTCTATTAGAAAGGAAATAAATATATAAGCTTTATCTAAGCTTTATTGAAACTTTGCAAAAATTCGAAATGAACAATTTTATTTTATATTCACTTATTTATATTAATGATGCTAAAGTTAATTTTAATTTTAACGGTTATATAGGTTTGAGACTGCACTAACAAGATAACCAAGTTATCAATCTATGTGTGTCTTTACTATATCATCTAGTATATTTTTAATATTTTTTCGATACGAAATTTTTTTCTGCGGTATTTTAAGCCGATTCGCAAGCGGATACTCTAGGAGCAACTGGACAGAAAAAAAAACAACTGAACTGTAATTAGGTGCCATTATTATTTCATACCAAATTGCACACGCTTTTTAGATAAAATCTTCAAAATATAAACGCCCGAAATGTTCGCCTCCGCTTGGCGCAGCGTGGCCACTTCAGTGGAGACTCAGTTGACCGCCACTTACTTTCGAGGTTCGTCCAGCAATCTGCGATTGCGTCTGCGGCTGGCGGTTCCTCATCCGGATTCCCCTGGTTTTGGAGCAATTCGAAGACGATTTCTGGCTGTGCCCGTCTGTCAAAGTCTCGTCAACCGTAATCTATCCGTACATATGTGTTTAATCTAATCTCTACCCCCACTGCATTTCCATTTATCGTTGTTTTTTGTTTGCCTTACTTCCTGCTGTCAGAATCTAAATGTCAAAATCCATATCTGTGTATCTCCCTTATTACAGTGCAAAAACTGCGCAAAGTCGGCTTTAGAGGCATGCATAGCACTTTGGAGGACGTCAAGCTGGAAGGCATGGAGATTAAAATCCTGCCTGCCCTGCAGGATAACTATATGTATCTTATTGTGGACGGAAAAACAAGGGAAGCAGCCGTTGTGGATCCTGTTGAGCCGGAATTGGTCATAAAGACAGTACAGGAGGAGAAACTGACGCTCAAAAAGGTGCTGACCACGCATCATCACTGGGATCATGCTGGTGGCAATGAAAAGCTAGTGAAGCTCTGGGAACAGCAATTGGATGTTTATGGTGGCGATGATAGGATTGGCGCTTTAAACAAAAAGGTGCAGCAGGATGACACCTTCACCATTGGCAGCCTGAATGTCAAGTGCTTATCGACTCCTTGTCACACCACCGGACATATTTGCTACCACGTCACTGCACAGGATGGAAATGGCGAGGGAGCCGTCTTCACTGGTGATACACTTTTCCAGGGCGGCTGTGGACGCTTTTTCGAGGGTACTCCTGATGAAATGTACGAGGCACTGTGCACCAAGCTCTCCGCTCTGCCGGATAGCACGAAAGTCTTCTGTGGCCACGAGTATACGCTGCAGAACATGAGCTTCGCCCGTCACGTGGAGCCGGACAACGAGGTCATCCAGCAGAGGATCGAGTGGGCTAAGCATCGTCGCGCCTCGCAGGATCCCACGGTGCCCTCGACCATTGGCGAGGAAAAGTCCTGGAATCCCTTTATGCGCGTCCACGAGGCCACTGTGCAGAAGCATGCCGGTGGGGCCACCGATCCCATCGTCACTATGGGCAAGTTACGCAAGGAGAAGGACAACTTCAAAGCCTAATTATATATTGGGGTTTTTTTAAATAACGTTTGAACATGTGATTTAATATTGGAAATAATGGTTAATAAAATTAACGGTATATATGAAAAAAAAACGTGTTTTATCCATTTATGGTTCAAAATAATGTTGATCATTTTGTATCATATTCAACCACAATAATGAGCTCAAGTATTTTAATAAATTATTTTAAATTCAACGGTTTTACCTTATCTCCAGCGTTCACCACACGCGTTAGTACATTGTTATAGTTTGCCTAATAAAGTGTGTAGTTTTGACTTTTACGAAAATAATTAATTACCATTTAATTGGGAAACTGAAAATTATTATTATTATTAATATTTATTGTTGGGAAACTTGTATTTTGTTATATCAAATTATTTAGTATTTTGCTTATTGCTGTCAACGATCTGGCAACGACGATATGCCATTCACACAAAACTGGCGGCGTCTGTCCAATGAGATTTTGAAACAGCATTTAAAACAATGAATGCAAACAAACGTCGAAGTTCTGTGAGTGTTCTTAATAAATTAATAAATAAACAAACTAACAAAGAGTTGCTTCAACTATTTTGCAGTTGCGCAGGGCGCCGCCGAAGGAAGACGATCAAACAACAATAGCAATAACCAAGCAACAACAAATCAAGCGACGCATCAGCTTCAGCGGAAAAAAGTCCGTGCGGTAAGTACAGTATGGGAATCCACTAACAGTATATCTAATGTTAAAAAATGTAACCACCTTTGTATAGGGAGTTTGTAAACACCAAAGAGACAAACAACTGGGACGACTCGTACGAGGTTTCCGAACACAATGCCGAGGACTCATCGAGATCGGGATCAGGATCAAGATCAGGATCGTTACCGAGAGCAACAGAAGATGCCAACAAGGAGAATGTTTTATTCCCCGGCATCTGTGAACGGGAGGAGAGCACCCTGACACTGAATTTGCAGACCAGCTTGGACGTCACCATGTTGCCCAGCGAGCAGTTGCAAAACACCAGAAAGACCAACTCAATGTGTCTGTCCACAGAGGAACGCCGGATAATGCAAAGCAGTATCTACGATCGCCGGTGTATGGACAAGACCATGGATCTGATGTCGGGAACCTTGGTAAACCGAAGACAAATACCTTCTAGCATAAATGAGGATACCTCTTTTGAAATGCCACCAAACCAAACAGAAAAAAGGGTAGATAACCCTCCAGTTAAGGCAATAAGTGACTCCTTCATGGACATCACGCCATTGGGATTCGTCGCTCCAGTTTCAGCTGCTCCTGTACCGGCAGCTCCTGCTCCTGTCGCAGTTATTCCAGCTGCCGTTCCTGCTTCTTCGGCAACTGCTTATCCTCCAAAACAGCAGAGCTTCATGGAGATGGAAGAAGACAGTTTGGTGAGGGAAATGAGAGAGTTCAACGAAAAGGACAGAAAAACTCCTGCACAGAAATCGCTTTTCATGGATTTAGAGGAGGTGGGAAAGGGACTGAAGAATCAAACTCAACATGGAGACATGAATATATCCTTTGACTGTCCCTTAAATGGTTTGTTTTGTGTTAATCAAACTCTTTTTTCCTTATTACTTTTATGAGAATCTGAGTTCATTAGTCATATTGGAAAAGAGTATTAGAAATTGTCTAAAACTGATCATTAATGTTGGTTTTTTTTTTTAGTTTCTGAGGACCGGGATCCGTTGCCATCGAGCTCCCTTGAGAGTAACAACTGCACCATTCAATATATGAAAGATGAGTCCATGCTCATACCTTTTGACATGATTTCGGGAAAAAACATTAGCAAGAAGATCAATTTTCGACAACTGAACGATGAGCTGGAGGCTGGAAAGATTCAATTGTTTTCCAACGGACCAAAAACACCAACCACGGATCGCAAGACGAAAAAAAATCGTTTTTGGCGTGGCCTGGAACATGAGGATAGTAGTCCCAAGATTGACATAAGGAGCATCAAGCCACGAGCAACGCTAAACTTCAGTGAGAACATGACTATGTCACCGGCTCAAAGAAGTCCAGTTCTTAAGGAGAAGGAGAAACTTAAGATGCCGGATGACAAACAAAAGTATCGACTTTCACAGGCGGATGAGTTGATGCTTGACAACACAAACTTCTTGGCTCATGCGAAATTGGGCGACGAAACGCAGTCTAGAAATACTTCCAAAAATTCGACGAGAAGGGAAACCACTTACGATAATTCTGAATTGCATTTGGAATTTCCTACAAGCAGTCAAGTACTTCAATCCATGCCGAATTTGAAATCTCGACAGACTGTAAATTTGGCTGAGGAAATGCAGCAGGATCACCTAGATTTGCCTGCTGCATCTAAAGGGAAATCTATTGCCAATCGTCGTACTATGCATCTTAATGAATCCATCGATCAGGAAGCCACAAGGCCCATGCATTTAAGAAAGGAGATATCTGTGACCACAGAAAAGATTAGCTATGAAAAAGTCACATTTAATGAGCAGAACCCGAATCAAAAAGCCACCGTTTTGGCCTGCACTAAGACCAAGCGCAGGGAGACTCTTTTGATGCAGGAGAGCATGGAAGAAGACATCATAAGTCCTCTAAAAGAATTAAGCTTAAAAACAAGAGCTGCTCCTGTGGAGGAAAAAAAGGTAAACCCAAACAATATGTTACCTTTTAAAAAGGAAATACGTCCCAAAGCTCGACACACTCTGTTACTAGAGGAACCCATGGAAGAGGAGACAAGCAACAATGTAAAAGATCTACCAGTTTGCAATTCCAAAAGAAAAACTCTCCATTTGGCGGAACCTCTGGAAGAAGAGGAAATAAACCCAAACAAGAATAAAATCTTTGCAAATGCAGGCAGCAAACCCAGAGCCAGGCAAACTATCCTGTCAGCTGATCCTATGGAGGAAGAGAACGGCGGCAATATAAAAAACCAGCAATTGTATACAACTAAAACTAAACCCAGGCATACGCTACTTTTAGAGGAGCCCATAGAAACGGAGAATAATTTTGAATCACACGCCAAATCCAGGCAGACGCTTACCGAAGAAGAGGATCCAGAAGTCTTTGCAAATGCAGGCAGCAAACCCAGAACCAGGCAAACTATATTGTTTGCTGAACCTATGGAGGAAGATACTGACTGCTATATAAAAAACCAGCAAGTAAATACAACAAAAACTAAACCCAGAAATACGCTTATTTTAGAGGAGCCCATAGAAACGGAGAAAAATTTTGAATCACGCCCCAAATCCAGGCAAATGATTACTGAAGAACAGAAAACTAACTTGAACAAAAATAAAATCTCTGGAAATGAAGTCAGCAAAAGATCCAGGCAAACTATCCTCTTAGCTGAACCTATAGAGGAAGATACTGGCTCCAATATTAAAAACCAGCAATTATACACAAACAAAACTAAGTCCAGAAATACTCTTCTATTGGAGGAGCCCATAGAAACGGAGAAAAACGTTGAATCGATTGATCAACCACGCGCCAAATCCAGGCAAACGCTTACCACATCAGAACGCATGGAAGAGGAGGATGTTGTAACGTTGCAGCCTAAAAGAAAAACAATAGTGCAACAAAAAGTCATCGATAGAACAAATGTTCCCCATAGCCAAAAGCCTAGGCAGACTTTAACTATGTCTGAGTCAATTGAAGAAGAGAATCCTTCACCCAATTTAAAAGAATTGCCTCGCGGTAAAACAAGAAATACTCTTATGTATGCGCCAATACAAGATTTGGAAGCCGAAAAGGAGAACAACCCAGCTGGGCAGCAAAGATTAATGCCAAGGCAAACACTTATTATGTCGGAACCCATTGAGGAAGATGTTGGTCAGACAGAACATAAATCATTTAACAACCCCGAAAGTAACATACAAACTAAAAAGACAGCCTCTATTACTTCAAAGTCCAGACATACTCTTCTGATGTCCGAACCCATAGACGATGATTTTTGGGAGGTAAAACCCGTGGATCAAACTAAAGCGCCAAGTAGTGAAGTGGTCTCTAAAAGTACCACAAATAATAAGTCAACAAAACCCAGAGGCACTCTTTGGATGTGCGAACCAATGGAGGAAGAGGTGCATATGACAAGGACTCACCAAAAACGAAGTGAAATTGTGGAAGAATATAGTGAAGATGTGCCAATTGAAAATGCTGGCCGGCCATCCAACTCTCGTCAAACTCTTCTTATGGCAGAGCCTATAGAGGAAGAGGAGTTGCAATGGACACAGCCTTACAAAAAAGCGGAAGTTAAAAAAACTGAACATTCACGCAAGTCTCGGCAAACTATTTTAATGCAAGAGCCCATAGAAGAAGATATCCATAATAATCTTTCTCGAAACACTCAAATGCTTGAGGAACCAATAGATCAAGTCGCGTCGAATGTAAATTTAAAGTCCAGCCGTCACACACTACATAATGCAGTGCCGATAGAGGAGGATGTGGAAATCCATAAATCAATGAAAAATGTGAAAGAAAAGTCTCTACTTAACCAGAAATTAGAAGAACCTATTAAAAACGAGCTGCTTTCAAATGCTGATCAAGTAATTGGAAAACGATCTTCCAAGTCAAGGCAAACTCTTCTTTTGGCGGAACCCATAGAAGAAGATACTCAACCCCTCTACTCTGCAAATTATCAAAATGATTATCATCGTCAAAAGCCAAGAAATACTCTTCTAACGCATGAACCAATTCAGGAGGACTTGGAAGCCCCAAAGGCGGTTCAATTGACTGGGCCGTTGAAATCAAAAGCAAGACAGACCCTTATTATGGCAGAACCCGTTGAAGAAGACTTTAGTGTTTATAATAACTCCACTAATTATCAGAATAGTAAAGCATTTAAAAATGTAACTTCAAACTCGAGACACACTTTGCTTGTTCCGCAACCCATAGAGGAGGAAAATATCTCAGATCAACACGATGTGATGACTTTACCTGCAGAAAGTTGTAAACATAAACCTAGGAATACAATCGTCTTAACCGAGCCGATTGCCGAGGATGTGGATCTAAGAGTTAAAGAAATATCACGAAAATCAAGACCTAATCTTGTCGGCACTCAACCCATCGATGATGGAAATATCTCGACAATGGACCAGACTCTCCATAAAAATAACAATATGCCTCCAGTTCCATCTTCCACAAGGCATACTTTGCATTTATCGGAGCCCATTGAAGAAGATGGAGAAATTTCGAAAACAAAAACCCCAACAAAAGAACAAGTTTCGGAAAATTTAGAAAAACCAAAAGGATTTTTACAATTCCTTAAGAAGAAAATGTTTAACAATTTTTTGCAAACGGAAGAAAAAGAAGAAGCTGTCAGTAAAACTCATCAAAATATGATTATGTCCGAATCCATGGACTACCAAAGTCCCGAAGCCACGAAGAATGACCCTGACTTCGACGCCATAACTCCCTTGCCAAATACCAGGACCATATCAAGAATAAAACAGTTGTCCACCTACACACCGGGAATGTCTTTGACTGAATTTGAGAATCAAGAGGAGTTGTGCAAGACACCGGTTCCCAAAAAAATGATGGTAACGTCTCTCCGAAAAAAAATGTCCATGTACCAGCCAGTGCAGATGGAACTAACAGCGAATGCCTCTGTTGTTGGAACTCCAATAAATCACCTCAAATTAAAGCGGTCCGTCACACATCTCACACCAAACCTGCCAGAGTCCAAAAAGCAACATACGAATCTCTTTGCGGATAGCAATATGGACATGGAAATGGACGACGAAGAAGAAGGAGCTTGGGGAACGACAAACATAAACTTGGAGGCAGCCACAAATAAGTCGCGCAGGACGTTTACAGTAGATCCAATGGATGCTTCGGTACAGCCAGTGAGGGATTACCATCCTGCCATGACTGAGTTGAACAAAAAGAGCTCTCTTGATATGCTGGAGTTGCCACGAAAATCGGTGTATGCCGTGGAGGACAAACCAATTACTATCTCGGATGTGACAGATTTCTTTGAAAAGCAGAAGGAGGAGCAAAGGCAAAGCGGCAGCTCCAGTGATCGAACCTTTAAAAGCTACGCTGTCACAATCACAAAGTTCCTTAATCTTACGGGAGACACCACCATGTTTGCAGCCGCAAAGGATTCGGACAAGGAGGAAATGGAACAACCTTATCAGATCGACAAAGAAAGACTCAGTCTGGTTTCCACGCTGGCCGACGAAACGGACGATGAGGTCGAAGAACAGGTGGAGGAACAAGTTGAGCCTCAACCAAACCCCGAACTCTGCGAAGGGCAGAAAAATTCAGCTAATATTCCCGGGAGCAGTGGCACCTGCAAGAAATGCGCCAATTGCAATCAAACGATGAGCGAAACTAAGCTAGGCGATGATTCATTTTTCCTGCCTGCTCAGAAGTGTTGGGATTTTTCAAAGGAACGAAAGCGATTACAGATTCTGAGGCAGAAACCAACTTTGAAGGAGGTGATGCTCTATTTTGAGATTGAAGAACAGGCAAGGCTGTCCAAGTTTGAGGAGTCTGACGACGATTCGGTGGATGAGACAAAAGTTGAGGAGGAACCATTTACATGGAACAAGGATTGCCTGTTAGAACAGTTCAAAAGGTTATTATAATCTGTTAATATATTTAAATATTTATAAAATGTTCTTCTTTATTTTTTATGAATAGACGAATCGGTGAACAGAAGCTTACAACCCAACCTGCGACTTCGTTCTTTGATCGCCTCAAAGTATTACTGTATGAGCAGCAACCAAATTGGATCTTCGACTTTCAGCGCAAGATCTCTAAGCAATTGATATTTTACCACCGTCTGCTGACCACATTTCGAATTGTAGTTAACTACAAAATCGAGGACGTGGTGGAAGAGTCGGCCATTCAAGTGGTCTCCATTGAAGTGGACAACGCGGTTGCCATTCCTAAGGAACATTGGTCTTCGCGTGAACACTTTCTGGACTTCCAACTGAGTCTCTATCTGCCGCTGAATCTTACTAACGCGATCGAAGACAGCCATGAATCGGCTTTTGTGAAATTTCTGCACCAAATTGATCAGAGCATTGTGAAGATTAGGCAATCGTTTCACGAATTGATGACGGTATTAACGGATTCGAGGGCGAGGCTCATAAGGTAAGTCCTTTTTTTTGAAAAGCTCTGCTTTATATATTTTCAAATATTTATTGGATTTTAAAATCTAAGTATTGAATTTGTCTGATGCCAAGAAGGTTCAATTAAAGTTAAAAACAATTAAAAATAATATTCATAACATTAATAATAATAATATGATCTCAATTTTTACAGAGATGCATATCATCGAACTGTTGTAAAGAAGACCGTACGAAAATGTATTGAGGGCGAACCGGTTGTGCAACTCGAGAAGACCAACTTCCTTATTGAGATCACCAACATTAACGAGGTTTCTTTCAGAGATATATTGCGTCCTGAGCTCCACCTCTTCAATGAAAATATCCAGTATCTGCCGAAGGGAATTGCATTTTTGAAAGCGTTTCTTACCAATCCTGAGCAGTACCTTAAAACATAAAAAATCTGTAGTTATATAGTGACAAAATAAGTAATTCCAATTTATTTGGGTTGCTTTTCAATTATCATTGTTTAATTCATTAGATTATTATTAAATATTTTTAAAGTAAATATATTTTATTTTTGATTTTTAAAACTTAACTGCATAAAATGAATTTTCCACTGCGCGCCTTAGAGTGACCAGCATTTTGCAACACTACACGTTCGTGCGATAGCTTGCATATGGTATGGTGTTGTTCGATTTCACGGCTACGGTCTTACTCGGCTAGTTGTAAAATTCCGTGGCTCTGCTGTTGTTTCGATTTTCATCGCGAAAACCCCAGCGAAATAGTGCAATAAACCGTGGAAAAGTGACACCATCCGCCCAACGACCTTGCGGAGTGGTAAAATGTCGTGTGCGGCCACTTTATCGACGGCCAAGGACTCGACAAATGCAGCAAATGCCAGTGGAGCTCCAACAAACACCAACACCAATACAGGCGGCCAGCAACAACAACAACAATCAACGGCTGTGGGTGTGGTAGTGAGCAGTGCAACAGGGGGCGGGGGTGGAGGTCCGGGTGGCACCACCTCGTCGGCTTCCTCATCAGCGGGGGGCGCGACAACGGGGGGCGGTGGAGCAGGAATTCCCAGCTCAGCGGCCGCCGTTGTCCGCCGTTTTTCAATGGAAGGAGTGGGTGCCAGAGTGATCCGCGGACCAGATTGGAAGTGGAACAAACAGGTGAGCCGAAAGGGGTCAACAAGTCTGCGGGTCCGGGTTCTGGTTCTGGGGAAAAGCAAAACTCTCCCTGTTCTCAATTGACCGATCAATTGAGTTAATTGCACACCCCGTAAAAGCGATTCTTGTCATCTTGCCAAACTAGTCAGGTTTCTCTTTTCACATTTTCACCAGAATGCCGATGGACGAAGGTGATCCTAGAAAGTGTGTGTATACCCACATGCAGTCCTCTTTCGATACTCAGAAGAATAACAATCACAGAGGAGTCTTATAGATATTGTTTACTGAGACTAGCGATTGCATTAAGCTGTATTTCCTATCCCAATTCAAGAGAAAAATTTAAAGTGTTTGCTTAAAAAAAATAAAAAACATTTCCTTTAGCCAAATTTAGTAAGTGTGATATCACGACATTTTAAATATGTTTATTTAAATAATTAATGTTGTTACGATTTTGGATTTAAAAAGAAAATAGTGAAATAAATCTAATCAGTAGTAATATATTTGATTTATTTTACCTGTTTTATTGAAAATGTTTGAGTCCACTTTACTTGACATTATGCAAGTGAGTCATAACTCTCATGCAATCTTCAAAGTGTGTTTGCCGAAACGCGGAAAAAAATATTTGAAAGTGAATAAAACCTAATCAAGATATGGTTATTTCCGCAAATACGTGCCGAAATTAAAAATTAAATTAAAGTGAAGAATAACCAGCATTAACAAGTGAACCACAAATCAAATCCAAACCATAAGACAATAATATCTGTTCATTGATGAAATCAAAGTGCAAAAATTTTTTAAGTAGATTTAAATTCTCGCTTTAAATATTTCTTTTGCAATCAAAACTTATCAGTGGAATTTATTCAATAATGAGATCTGGTTTTACCAAATACACTAACATTTAAGAAATATAAACAGGTCAGATTGAACTAGGGAATGCATCTTCGTACCCTTACGATTTTATAATACATATTTTTTTTTGTTTTGCTGATCCCTTTGAGAGATAGTCAAACGAACTAGTAGCTTTTGCCTACCTTAACACTTAGTCAGTTGCTGTTATGCACTTCGAGTACAACTTTCGCATTTTAATCAGCGTCTGTTTCAGCTTATACAATACCAAATCGTAAGATTAATTGATTTACTAATGAAATATTTTTCCCTTTTTTTTACAGGATGGCGGAGAAGGACACGTGGGCACCGTGCGCAATTTCGAATCCGCCGAGGAGGTAGTGGTTGTCTGGGACAACGGCACCGCTGCTAATTACCGCTGCGCCGGAGCCTATGATCTTCGTATCCTGGACAGTGCTCCGACTGGCGTAAAACACGAGGGCACCATGTGCGACACTTGCCGCCAACAACCGATCTTCGGCATCCGCTGGAAGTGCGCCGAGTGCATCAACTACGATCTATGCTCCATCTGCTATCACGGCGATAAGCATCACCTGAGGCATCGCTTCTACAGGATTACGACGCCAGGAGGCGAGAGAACCATGTTGGAACCGCGTCGAAAGTCAAAGAAAGTACTGGCCAGGGGCATTTTCCCGGGAGCTCGAGTCGTTCGTGGTGTGGACTGGCAGTGGGAGGACCAGGATGGTGGAGTTGGTCGGCGTGGCAAGGTCAACGAGATACAGGATTGGTCCTCCGCCTCGCCGAGATCCGCCGCCTATGTGATCTGGGACAATGGCTCCAAGAATCTGTATCGCGTGGGATTCGAGGGAATGGCTGATCTAAAGGTCGTCAACGATGCCAAGGGCAGTAATGTTTACCGGGATCATCTGCCACTATTGGGTGAAAATGGCCCTGGTAAAGGACCACATGGCTTCCAGATTGGCGACAAGGTCACCGTGGACTTGGACCTGGAAATTGTGCAATCTTTGCAGCACGGACATGGCGGCTGGACCGATGGCATGTTCGAGTGTTTAAGCAACGCCGGAATGGTTGTGGGCATCGATGAGGATCACGACATTGTGGTGGCCTACAACTCCGGCAATCGCTGGACCTTTAACCCAGCTGTTCTCACGAAAGTGTCTTCGCCGACGACAGCTCCACCGGAATTCCAAGTGGGCGATATAGTAAAGATCTGTTCGGATGTGGAGAGCATCAAGATTCTGCAGCGTGGCCACGGAGAATGGGCTGATGCCATGCAGCTGACCCTGGGCAAGATTGGCAGGGTGCAACAGGTCTACCATGACAATGACCTCAAGGTGGAGGTGGGCAACACTTCGTGGACCTACAATCCGCTGGCCGTTTGTAAAGTGGCCTCGTCCACGGCCTCCGATGGGGGATGTGCTCCGGTTATTCCTAGTGGAGAGCGACTCTCAGCCATTCTTAAGAAGCTGTTCGAACCAAATGTCTCGGGCGATGCCACCGAGGAGTTCGTCAAGGCAGCAGCCAATGGATTTGCAGTAAGTTCAAGGTCTTCAATGTATATTTCTTTGAAATCAAACAAATATCTCTTGCTTTTAGGCACGTTGCGAGGAGTACTTGGCCGGCGCAGCTCAACCTTCGACTTCCAGCGCCTCGCCAAGTTCCGGTCCGGATGTGAATGTGAATGGCGTGTTTGCCGGACATACGGCCCTGCAGGCGGCCAGCCAGAATGGCCACATCGAGGTCATTCAAGTGCTATTGCGTCACGCCGTCGACGTGGAGATCGAGGACAAGGACGGAGATCGAGCTGTACACCATGCCGCCTTCGGCGATGAGGCGGCGGTCATCGAGATTTTGGCCAAAGCTGGGGCGGATTTGAATGCGCGCAACAAGCGAAGGCAAACTTCTTTGCATATTGCCGTGAATAAGGGCCATTTGAACGTGGTAAAGACACTGCTCACGCTGGGCTGCCATCCCAGCTTGCAGGATTCCGAGGGTGATACACCGCTGCACGATGCCATATCCAAGGAGCACGACGAAATGCTGTCTCTGCTGCTGGACTTCGGGGCTGACATCACCCTGAACAACAACAATGGCTTTAATGCCTTGCATCATGCTGCCTTGAAGGGCAACCCCAGCGCCATGAAGATTCTGCTGACCAAGACAAACCGTCCTTGGATCGTGGAGGAGAAAAAGGATGATGGCTACACTGCCCTGCACCTAGCGGCACTCAATAACCACGTTGAGATAGCGGAGCTACTCGTGCACATGGGCAAGGCGAACATGGACCGGCAGAATGTGAATCTCCAGACGGCTCTGCATCTTGCGGTGGAACGTCAGCACGTACAGATTGTCAAGCTGCTGGTGCAGGATGGCGCCGATCTAAACATACCCGATAAGGACGGGGATACGCCGCTGCATGAAGCGCTCAGGCATCATACGCTTTCGCAGCTGAAGCAACTGCAGGATGTAGAGGGATTTGGCAAGCTGTTGATGGGCTTACGGAATGCTAACAACAAGAAGGCGTCGGCTTCGATTGCCTGCTTTTTGGCTGCCAACGGAGCTGACTTGACTTTGAAGAACCGCAAGCAGCAAACTCCATTGGACTTGTGTCCGGATCCCAATCTCTGCAAGACGCTGGTCAAGTGCTATAACGAAAGGAAAACTGATGACTCGGAGTTACCGGGAAATGTGGCTGGAACAAGCTCAAATGCCAGGGCAAGAGCAGCCAGTGGCAGCCTTAACCAATCCTCCTCGGCTAGTTTGTCCCTGGCCAGTATGGCTGCCTCGTCCACCTTCCCTGCCGCTTCATCATCTTCCATTTTTGCACTCAACGGTAAGGCCAACGAAATGAGCCAATCTCTGCACGAAGAAGCCCCGAAGTCGACGGCCAGCTTGGATGAGTGTCTGGTTTGTTCGGATGCCAAGCGTGACACGGTGTTTAAACCCTGTGGTCATGTCAGTTGTTGCGAGACCTGCGCGCCGCGGGTTAAGAAGTGCCTCATTTGCCGCGAAACCGTCTCATCGCGCGAGAAGATCGACGAGTGCCTGGTGTGCTCGGATCGCAGGGCAGCTGTTTTTTTCCGACCATGCGGCCATATGGTTGCCTGTGAGCACTGCAGTGCTTTGATGAAGAAATGCGTCCTGTGTCGTACCCAAATCGACGAGATCCTGTCGTTTAGTCTCTGCTGTGGAGGAATCGGACGACCGGAGAAGGTAACGGCGGTGGCAGGAGGAGTGCCGACCGTAGGCTTGCCACTTGCCGAGGATCGATTCCTGGAGGCAGCAGCAGCAGCAGCCTGTGCCAATGCATCAGGTCACAGCGTGGCCATGAACAACACCGTGGTTACCCCAGTGGCCGGTAGCGGCAATCAATTAAATAGCCAGAACAATTTGTTGGCTGCAGCGGCAGCCTCATCGAATGTCTCGAATCTGGCAGCAGCTGGAAGTGTCATGGTGGCCCCATCCAACGTCAACAACTTCCAGATGGATGATGTGCAAAAGTTGAAGCAGCAATTGCAGGACATTAAGGAGCAGGTACGTTTAAACATATTATAAACTACGAATTAAGGCCACTTTACTATTTCTATGTTATTTTCTAGACCATGTGTCCCGTCTGCTTCGATCGCATCAAGAACATGGTTTTCCTGTGTGGCCATGGAACCTGCCAGATGTGCGGCGACCAGATCGAGGGCTGTCCCATCTGCCGCAAGACGGTAGAGAAACGCATCCTGCTATTCTGAAGCCCCTTTCCGGCACACACATTCCGCACACAGCCTGCACAGCCTTCGAAGTATTAGGATATTTAACGGACTCACATTCTTATACACACACACATATATATATCTACACAATATCATATATATAACTATATATCGATGGTCTTATAAAGCAAAAATATATTTTTAACAAATATTCAAACCAAAACATTAGGCGGAAATACTTTTGCCCGGTTCCTTGCTTATCAGATCCTTGAGTATGTCCTTCTTGGCTTGAAAGTAGTCACGGAACCACAAGATGTGATCCTTTTTCTCCTGCGCGGTCACATAGGGATTCTTTGAAAGGCCGACACAGACGAGCTCCATGAAGTGACGGATGGGTCCCTTACTGGGACACCAGTCCTCTAAATGCTGTTCAAGGAAGATGTGCTCCGAGAAGTCAACGTTCACTTCGTCGGTCCAATCCTGCTCGTTGTTGATGGGGAAGCGCCACACCTTGCTCTGATCCGTCCACAGGACCATCTGCTCGAAATAGTTCGCCGGCGGATGGGCAGCTTGTAGGCTAAGCTCCCGCTCGCTTAGTTGCGACCAGGTGGAAAGGATGTCTGTAGAAATGGGCAATGTGGTATCCTTGAAGATCCCAAGAGGTTCGCCTCCGTACAGATTGACGCTGCCCGTAAAGGTTTCAGCCTCGCGTTTGATGTGCCTCTGTGGCCGCTGGTACTGACCATCCCTGCCTTGAGACTTGCTTCTGGAAGCCAATGAGCGGCGCACATACTCCCCGCGAGTCTGCTCCACCTGTTGCGGTTGCTGGCGACGATCAATCTTCATGCCCACAATTAGTTCGCTAAAAGAGAAAAAAAAAGTATTATATTGAACATCTGGCGATTACTGGTTTCTTAATCAAAATTAATTTTTAGATTTGTCCTCACCTTAGATTAAGCTCCTTATCGCCGGCAGATGCTGTAGCAGCATTTGTTTCCTGAGCTTCTCCTGTCCCAGCTGAAGAAGATTCTCTACTATGGCCTAAGAGTTTGGCGAGCAGCTCCGATTCGGTCTGCTTCTTGTCGCTCTCGCTCGTGCCCAGCATGCTTGCAATGTTCTTTGCTGCGGTCAGGACATTCTTAGAAGCGATCTCCTGTTTCTGGGCCTCTCTGCGCTTCCTGTTTGCATCGCCAGGACGTGGGAAATCTGATGCAGAGAGTTGGTCTGTGGCTTGCATTGTGCCCAACAAACGGTTCAACCGCTGTGCTGCCGTCTCCGTGGGTTTATCCTTCTTCTTCGTGGGCTTCTCGTCGTCCGAGGAGGAGTACCCATCGTTGTTTTTAGACTTCGAGGAGTAGTTGACCAATCCCACGTTTTTGTAGGCAGCCGGCACAAGGGAGCTGCAATAAATAAGGGTCAGGATTGATATTCCAAAATTTTGTTTAGGTTTCAAAGGTCTTAACCTAAAGCCTACCGCAAGCTTAATCTTTGAGCGCTACGGAGGTTCAGCATTTTATCCAATTTCTTTGACAAATTTAACTAGAAATAAACCAAAAAAAATCGCTCGCGTAACAACAACCCGGCAAAAGGTTGCCAGACCACCGCAATTCTTTCAGTCTGTGAACCTAGCTATTTTTCGGCTATTTTTCTTATAAATGTTTATAGAGACATCTATACTTAATGGTATACATATTTAAATAAAAAAGGTTTTTTTACTAAATAAATATATTTTTAATGTTTTTTAAAGTTTCTTAACATCTGAAGAGAGCTACCCAAAGTTTATATTAGTTGGCAACACTTTGGTATGACCCTTGGCAAATTTTCAAAATCCTTACTGGAGACCGTTTGTGGCTAGGTCTTATGATCTTCTCGAATGTTGCTAAAAATTTGTTTAAATTTTCTCTTGATTGTTTCTAAAAATTAGTTTAAACCCTTTAAATGCCTACTTTCTTTTTATAATTCCAAACTTGGTTTTAAAGAATTTTTTTCAGGTGATACATTTGCGGTATCTAGTCAAATTTAGTACATTAACCCCAAAGATTTGGCGATTCGTCTTGCAACCACGGCGGGCACACTCTTCACACGTTTTGTTTTTTTGCGCTATTCGTATTACTTTTTTTCGACGTACGCACGCGTTTTGTTTTGTTGCGCGATTAATTAATGGCAAACGCAAGATGCGAGCAGGGAATCCGAGTGCGAAAAATTAAATAAGGAGAAAATAACGAAAACATCGGCGGCCGAGCTAGTGTGCGTGCGTGTGCGTACCTGTGAGAGTGTGTGTGTCTGTGTGGGCGTTTATAAATAAAACGCTGCGAAGCTGAGTGCGAAAAGCAGACGCGGATAAAGAAGTAAAAGAATGAGCGCAACCAAAAACAAGAGCGAAGGAAAAGAAAGTGTTTTTTAGCACAGCAAAGCGTTTAATAGTTTTAAAAAAGTTAAAAAAACCGAAAGGCGAAAGTGCAACAGAGCGACGAGAGAGAAAGAGAGCGATAAAGAGAGAGGTGAATATCAAAGGGAAAACCCATTTGCATCGAGAAATAAAACGAAGCGAACGGACGGCCAAAGCGTAATTGTAAAATTCCACTGTCTGGGGCAGGCTATCAATTGGTGCATGTGTGTGTGAGCTATATACGTGGTATATACATATATGTATTTATGGCACATATATATAAGCGAAGAAAACATGGAAATAACTCGCGATAATTGTCATATGTATCTCTCATGTGTGCGCAACATTTTGCAGCTATCCTATCCGAAACCGATCTGATTTATCAACCTGTTAAGCGAAGTGGAGCCCAAAACCGAGTGCTTAAATGGATGCAACATCAATAATCACGCAAGTTTCCCGCGACGACGAGCAACTGAACGTCTATCCCAGCTATCCCAATGACAAAGGTGAGAACACAAGTAAAAATTGGGGGAAAACGGGGAAAACCCAAGACCCAGTAGTTAACCTCCCCTCATGACTCATCGCTACTTGAAAGACCCGCGGCGTCACAACAAAGACGAAAGGACACTTGTCCGCTGCCAAGAAGTTTTTGTCCCCCTTACTACCCACCACCCACCATGCTCCAAAAATAACCCCCAACACCCCGCTGACCTTTCGTGCTCACCCAATTGCGGTCAATATAATTGTGGGAATAGTTAGTTGCTACATATGTCGTATTTTCTGTCTCAACAAACTTAATGGCAGTGGCCTTTTTCTATAATTTATACAAAGTACGCTCTATAAGTAAAAAAAGAAGAATTAAAACGTAACACATTTAAAAAAAGATTTTTAAGTACTTTATAACCCTTAACGCTTACTTAAAAATTGCACTATTTAAAATTATAATTGATATTTTTATTCATTGTAACTATAAAAAGAATCGGTTTACTGAGAGTAGTTGATAGACGTGGATGTTTAAACAGTTTTTTTTTTAGCATACCAGTCAGACGGGATAGATACTTTACGAACATTAAAAAAAATTGATGTAGTTTTAGAGTAGATGATTTTCGTAACTAAAATCAATTATGTATGTATATATAAAATAACGCTTTAAAAAAGTACTTCAAAATGCAATTGAAAGAATGAGGGAAACTTAAAATCGAAGTAACCTTACAAAGAAGATAATTGTTTGTTGTACCAATTGAAAAAGGGGTAAAAAGTTAAGTATGTATGTCTTCTGTTTAAAAAATCTCTCCGTATAACCTGAATTGTATAGTGCAGTACGATTAAATTAAGTAAGTCTCCACAGGTTTCCATTATTGTGATTAATAATAGTAGTATTATTTTCGCCCCAGTTGCCTGTGTTTGTCTCGCCCCCTTTTCATCGCTGTATTTTCTTGTTCGTTGGCCATTGTGAATGATCTAACAAATTGCTCTCTTCGCTTTGTGGTTATTGAATTATTTTGCGACGCAGTTGCAACTCTGCCGCCACCCGCCCAATTGCCACCCACTGGCCCACTCCCACCTGTAATCAATTGATGACGTCTTTCGGCACAAGTGACGTCATGGAATTTCGACACGAAAGCCTTTTCTTTCTCTTATGTTATTTTCTTTTCCTTCGCTTAACTGCCTTTGCATGTTTACTTTCGAGGGTCCAACAATAGAAACTGCCAATTAAATTGCACAGTAAAAAGCAGCAGAAAAAAACGTAGAAAAGTTAAGAAAAAATTGAGGAAAACCGGTATAAAGAGAGATACAGCGAGAGCACAATAAAACTAGTTGTGTGTGCTTTTTTATAGTGATGCAAACAAACAAACAAAGCAACAGACGAACAACAAAACCGTAGCTTAAAGGTTGCGAGATGGTTGTAATGAATGAATGAATGAATAAATGAATGGAGAGAGCCAAAGAGAGCGGGCTAGTTCACAGATGAAAAGTAACAACAATTATTAAAATTGTGGTTTTATGTATAGTTTAAAAACAAAAACTAGTTTGTAACATTGACATTTAAAATACGATTTGCCTTCATTTATTCAAAAAACATGCTGTCTTTAATAGTTTAGAAAAACGCAAGTTTCGATAATAAAAATATAATCGCATTAAATTGTTTATTTATAAATAACAAATTCTAAATATTTACATTCGGTATCGATTAGCACTTTTTTCTGTTCAGTGAGTTGAGGGGTGGGGCTGGACGTATAAAAAACCGCGATGAACGCCTTTAAAGTAAAGTAATAACTAATTTAATCTAATCTGCGGTCGCCAGTGCACCTCAAATACATGGCCACACATGTACAGTCTAAACTTGATATATAATATATAGCATTTTTGCGGTTAGGTGTTAATCGACGTCGCTCGCTCACTTTGATTTCAATTTTGATTGACGGTGCTGCCAATTTGGCGCAAATAAAATGTCTTTTTCTTTATCTGCTCGCCAATCTATATGTGTCAACAGTTACTTGTATCGAAAATCAATTCCAGGAGCCTACATTTTAGAATACAAGTTATCCCAATGGGCTCCAAATTGGGAGTTAAGCGGTTTTTTCTAGTCGACTTTGGAACAACTGAGAGAGCGTGAGTTACTGAGCGAGTCGTCATCGCAGCTGTATGTACAAACACTTGTGGTCAATGTAGTAGAACACTGTCCAAAAATTTAATAAACTTATTATGTATTTTACTTTTTAAATCTGGTTTGTTACAATTTTAAAGTACACAATAAGTAAAGTTGACAAAAATAAATAAGTACATATGTATTACAAATATTTTTTTGCAGTATTTCCTTTAAAATTATATTTGCAGTAAATTAAAGGGTCCCAAAACGTAATCACTTGCTATAAAGATATGTTGTTAAAGCTTATTGTCAAACCCACTGCTATTACCCTGATCTCAGCTGTTTTTTTATGTGAGCGAGTGGGTGTGCGGGGCGTGTGTGAGTGCGAGGAGCACGGCAATATGGGGGCAAACCGGCAAGCAAAAAGCAACAGTTGAAATATGTTTTTCTTTTTTATTTGAGAGTGGGTGCCGCCGCCTAAGTGCTTTTTGCTTTGCCTCACCGCGTATAAATATTTATATAAATATATGTTCGCCATACCGCCAACCCCCACCTCCCTCTCCGCCTTTAACTCCCCTCGCTTATAAATACATCTATATTGGTTTTATGGGCAAACGCAAATGCTCTCCTAGTATCTCATTTCTCATTTCTATCCACCTCTGTTGAACTGCTGTGATTTTTCATTTTTCTCAAGGTCTTGAAAGCCAAATTACTCACGCACACACAGACAACCCGTTTTTCTTCAATTTTACGCCCTTTTTGAGTATTTATTATTTTTTCACATTTATTGATCAAGTCCAAAAATAGCCAAATAATGTTATTTTAAAGAATGCGAATTGGGATCAAAGATCTCGTGCATAAACAAATTTGGGAAAATGGGAAAAACTGGATCAGTCCAATCCGTACATTTTTACGGTGCAATGCTGAAATGTTTATACTTTTCATACAAACATTTCACTTATTTTAATACATATAGTAGTACGCTGAAATATTTATATATTGTTTTTATTGTTTCATTTATTACGCTATGCCAAAAATAGCGTATTCGTAATATTTTTTTAATATTCATGTTTAACTTTTTAAACATATGGTATTAGCTAATGATGAAAGTATTCAAGTATCCCAAAAGTGTAACAAGGCGCGATAAAATGTCTTTTATTTTTTTAAATGTTTAAACATTGCCCAAGCAATTATATCAAATTTATAAAAAAAAAGTTAATCGATAAAAAAATTTAATAAAAAAAAAAAAAATACATATCTTCATATCTTAGTGTATGTATTTGTTCTACAACCTTATGTTTTTTGAAAGGCACAAAACAGACACAACAGATGCAATGCAATGCTTAATTATTGAAAAAATAATATTATATGCGGAACAAGATGAGCGGACTGCGTGCAAAAGATTTGTGTGGTTCTAGTTCCTATATACTCATGCCAACAAATAAGAAACACTTTTAAAAATGATGGTCTTGGCTTTTCTTTTTTGAATCGATAAAGGTCAACGAGTTCTGTACATTAAGATTTTATCTCCATGGTTGATACAGGTTCGTTGAACTTCGTTGGGGGTTAAATGAAGGCCAACCCCCAAAAACCAAAGGCAAGATTGGGGTGCTGCAGCTCTAAAAAGCC